AAGCTACTCAAGCAGCAAACATCCTTGGGGCATTGGGTTTAATGCCACATGGTAGATATATATATATAACTTAGTGCTATTGAATACATGTTGCTTTATGCTTCCCAGTTTGGGGCACTTCCACTTACAATGTGCACAATCTATGTAAGCTCAGCAAGGTCCAACGTATTGCAGCTCTCCAGATCTGTAGAGCTTATCATATGGTACACATCTCAGCCCTCTTGGTCATTTCAGGCCTCATCCCAATTCATCTTATGACAGAGAAACATCACACATACTGACAACTTTGACAATTGGCAGAAGCTTAGTAATTGTCATATGCTACCCAATTTTACAGAACAACAATACCCAAGATATCATCATCTTGGGACTAGAGAGAAAGGAATTCAACACTACCCTCGACAAGCAGTATCATATTATTTTATGCAATCTCTTCCCTCAGCCTGTGACTTCAGTATTTACATGGACGGATCCAAGCATGGTGACAATGTTGGTGCAGCCTTTGTTTTTATCAACAGTGTCGATTCCATCATTCACAGGTCTGCTTTTAAACTTGGCAAGTATTGCTCTGTACTGCAGGCTGATGTTTTTGCTATATTGAAAGCTGTGGATTATGTCTTTGAGGGCTGGTTTGTTAAACATAAAAACATCAACAACTATTCAGACAATCTAATGGGTTTCTTCTCCCAGCGCACCCCCAAAAGTAGGGGTACGAATATAATTCAAATCCAAAGATCTTTTTGCACAGAATAGCCACAAGCATAACATCATCTTTAAATGGATCCAGAGTCATTCAGGAGTAGAGGGTAATGAGGCAGCTGATAAACTTGCTAAGGAGGCTGCTAGCTCTTTTCTCACACCCCCTTGTATTGCAGAATTCCCCTTTCCAAAGTCAAGGACTGGATTAGGGAGCTGACCTTTACTCAGTGGCAGGGTGAATAGGACAGCAGTGTCACTCGTAGGGTATCATAAAAAAATATCCCTAGCATTAGGGAATGTCTTCTGTGGGAGCATTTCATTCCAAATTTTTGTTATGCAACTACTCACTGGACACAGCAGTCTGAAAGCATATCTGCAAAGGTTCCATCTAAACAATGATGATAGCTCCTACCCATGTGATAATACTCCTGTTCAGGACAAACTCCATATTCTCTTCAACTGCATTACTCTAGATCAGGCAAGAAGCAACCTAATTGGATATACATTGTACAAAAGACACAATTGGCCTTGTGACTGTAAGTACTTAGTGGACAATCTCAATATGTACAAAAAACTAAACAATTTCACAACAAAATCAGAAGTGTTCAACCCAACCAATTGAATTTGTGGAGGATCATGCGAGTGTACAATGGTCCACAAAAGGCAGTACATGAATAAATAACAATAATTATTTATTGTTTTTATGTGAATCATAATATATAGGATTCTTTTTCAGATTCCAACTCTTAGAATATATAGAATATCCAAAATAGGAGCAAGGAATAGAGTAAATACAAATCAAAGGAACCTGCTTGTGACAATTAAGGAAAGACTGACTTGTAATCTTATAACTAATACTTACACTAAATTATAAACTAAAAGAGGAAAGGAAGATTAACAAAAAGTTTTAGTATGATAGAAGAAGAGGTTATAAAGAATACCCAGTTTTCTGGTTGGTATTGATGCTCTTCTGGTGGGAAACCACTATAATTTGTTTCCCGATGATCTTTAATTGGATCTCTTCAACGATCGTTTTTATACAAGTGATGTTTGTCTCTCTCTTTTTAAATTAACAGGGTCTTTTCTCCTCTGCAGGCCACTGTTGCCTCCCTTTTGTGTTTCTAGACGATGAGCAGGAGCGTAACACGTCTGCCTTCACCTAGTGTCCAACCCAAGAATGACCTTCCTTATCCGTTATAGTAGCCTCTGGGCTCTCACTTTCCATTGTCAATGTGGTTCTTAGAAAGGGTTACCCCACCCACAGGAAGGAATGTTAGTAAAAAATTTGAGAAAACAAAAGCGGAAGAAAGCGAACTTAAAACTAAACTTATATCTAAAATATATACAGTAATATGGCATATCGCCACAAAGTATCCAATACACAAACATGGTAGGTTCTTACATACATGGAAATATTTATGTATAGGATTCTGTTAAATAAATGTCAGTTCCTGTTCAAGCTTGTTAATATATCCAATCATATTCTATAAATATGTTTCATGTAATACGAATGAATTCATATTCCATTAAACATGCTTGTTTACAAAAACATTCAAGAAGTTATCCAACTCTGCATTATCATATTTGGACAACTCTGTTAAACATTTTTTTTCTATTATTTTATGTAGAAATTTTGACCCAATGAAGCCTTAATGGATCTAAATTTCCAGAAAATATTCTTCCTACCAATAGACATACTGATTGAGTTTAAGTTACAACTTAGACATCATCCATCTAATTCTTTATAATTTTATATAATTTAAGCAATTTTTCATTATTAAACATTATTTTTATCCGAAAAAACAAAATACTTGATATTATTTGGTATATAACATCTACTGCACACTGGATTGTATAAAATAAATATGACGTACTTGAACCTATAACCGATGTGTATCGAATAATCTTTCAACGACGAACGTTTTCATAACCCCTTCTGGGCTCTTCTTCAGGTGAAACAGCTGGATTGAACACCAAAAACGAAATTTGAATAAATATGAACTCTGTTGAGTTTGAATCTTCAGATCGTTCGCTTATTTCATCACATGATATGTTTGAACATGATTGAAGTTAACGATCAATGTCCAAATTCAAGAGAAAGATATTATTATGATACTTAAAAACGTGCGATTGAGATACATACTTATTCAATACTGTTCTCACATGTTCCTCAGTACCTTCTATTTTTATTTTAATATTTAATAAATAGTATTTCGCTGTTACTCTGTATGTAGTAGGTTTTGCCATGCCATGGAAAGGCCGATTTCGTCTCTTGAATTAATACAAGTGGATGTGTCATATGCTCTAAAAATTTCCATCTCCTCCAACCATTTTAGATGGTGAATGTGCAGTGTGGTGACAATTATTTGGTATTCAAATACTTCCTCAAAGCTGAATTATTCAGCTGAATAATCTCTAATCTCATTTTAGTTGGAGGAGGGAGAAAGAGAAGGGAAAAAAATAAAACAAAAAGAACATTAAAATAACAAAATTTTTAATTTTTAAATATTTCAGTTTTAAGTCCTAAAAAAACTAATAAATTATCTCGAGCAAATACTATTATTAATAATTACAATTCAAGAATGATAAATTGTAATGTATTGACTGCAACTTCTGCCACCACCTTGTAGCATCTGCAAAATTTAAATGATATTTTTCCTTACCACGTAATATCATGTGATTGGTAAAGATGTACAGTACATACATTCCAAATTATTAATAAATGACATCATAAACCAAATTAAGCATCTCTTACTCCTCATTGTTGACAAATAAGCATCCCTTATATACCTGCCAGACAAATGTTCTAGAATGTTCTCAATACACCTAGAAGAAACATCAAGAACAAACTCAATACCTGAAGTATAATCTTTCTTCTAGAACAATCCACAGACATGTAGTATAAGTAAGCAATTGAAAACTTATCTAAATATATAAAATTACTTGTCCTGACTGACTGAATGAATGACTTATTCATCATCGCCCAGAGCAAACTGCTGAACCTAAAGAGGTGAAATTCTTAGGGTACGTCACGAAAACCACACTAAGAAGGGATTTTTCGAAATTCCCCTGCGGGGGAGAGGGAGAGTATTAAGGCTTAAGAACAGCTTCTACTTTACTATTTTAGATGCGATTTTTTTGTTTTCAACTACGTTTAATCTTCATTGAGTACTTAGGTGTATTAAATTAAAAATATTTATAACAATGTCTGAAATGTTATCATGTATTTCGATTTTAAAAATTTCTTGTTTTTTGTGTGGAAAATACAAGACTTTTCATACTGAAGCATTTAGTGTAGGAAATAAAATTCTTATTGGATAACTTCTGTTCTTACAGTATATAAGTGCTATGTTTACCCTCATTCCCTTGTATAGGGTTAACAGTACAGTATCTTTGTACTTGCTAGAGACTAGGAGGGTGGGGAATAAGGGCAGCTGTTAATTGTGATGCTTTATAGTACTTTAGCAGGTTCTTTAGTGTCATACTGAGTAGAGTTAAATTGCAACTTTGTGAGATAGCAAGAAAAAATAACAGTTTTACTGCACAGCATAAAATTAAAGTAATCTGATCTGCTTTTATAGAACAGAACAGAAATCAAGAGGCTGAAAGAAAATTTGGTGTCAGTGGGGCTCTTGTTTGTTACTGGCATAAACGAAAAGAAGCTCTAAGCAATGCAAAGTCCAATGTGAGGGCATTTCATGGTCCCAATTACGTTTTACGTAATTGGTAAAACGTGTATATGTTTACCTGTTCGCGTTGAACATTTCACACCAGTATATCCACCACATATTTCACCAAGTAAGTTTTTATTATTTTATTTTTAATTGTAGCCCTTATATCGTGGCTAGCGATTCGGAATGTAATCGTGATATTAAAAATGCATTTAGAGAAGTCTATGGTTTTTACTGGCTTATCAAATAAACGATACAAATGGACCCTAGACCATCACTGACACGCAATTGACTGATTTCCCCTGGATGTCGGCTTCTTACAGAAACACAGCTTCCCTATCATCAAACGTCGCGGCACACCCCTGATAAAATGATAATTTAACCAAATATCTAAATATTGGATTTCTTTGGACTAAGTCTAGACTTAAATGAAATTAAGTAATTTGATCTAAAGGTATGCAGCTTAACTGACTGTCTTTAGAATGACTGACTTATTGACATGCTTCTTCCTGATCTATACATTATTGATACATTAATAATTATTTTTCTATAATATAACATGATGTATTTAACTGTAAAACATATCTAATTTTGTAGATTATATGACTAAATATTAAATAATTTAAATACCTGTATGATCAGGAATATGGCCATTTCTCCTAGGTGTTTGATCAACCCCAATATTTCGATTCCATGAAATTGACGATTGTGTTTGTGCATATGGAGGACCTGAATGAGTTATTGGAGTTCTACCTGTACTTGGTTGAGGCTGGAATATTATAAATCAATTACAAATTGTGCACATTTTAATTAATAATTATTATATATGTGTTAATTTTCATCATTTTAAACAATATTTTATTTTAATTAAACTTTAAATTTATTATTAAATAAATTCATGCTCTAACAACTAAATTAACTATTAATATTTTGATTTTAAATTAATCTTTCTATAAGTTATTATTATTATTACTATTACACACACAAATATAAACAGAAATTTAATCTTTCATATATAAAAAAAAAATAAAGAACTGAACAGAATACAGATTTAAAATTATTCTCAAACAGAATATAAAATTGCAAAAATATTAATGAGAGAATATAAAGTATAAAAAAAAATTCAAATTTTATGTTACAAATTAATTAGAAAAAGACATGTTATTACAAGCTTAAACTAATAATCCTTAAGTAAATTTAGTAACATTTATGAATCAGATGAAGACTTCTTTTTGAATATGAGATTTTTCAGAAACTAAAATTATACTAACTTGATTTTAATAGAGTAAATTTGTGAAAATTCTCTCACCATTGTATTAATATAAAAATAAAATTGCATACTTTCATTAAACTTTATCTTCAAGATGATGATCTTGTATTGTCTTTTACCTGTTATTTAAATTTTATTTATTGCTAATATAAAATTCTTTGTTCCTATGTTTCCATATTCATATTCATAAATGGGAAATAGCAAGTATTTCAGATTTTCAAATAAATCAAGTTTTAACATCAAATATTTAAAAAAATCCAAATATTCATTTGCACTAGACATGATGTTATGAAAGATTGTCTATATATTTTACAACTATTCAGCATCCTTAAAATAAACCATTTAAGATTCATCTTAAACAAATTCTTGTAAAATTCAAATAAACATCCTGAAACTTAACAGTAGAAAATTATGGTAGCAAATAATATTGGACCCTCTGGATATCTTAAGTACTTTATTTATATAATTATTTCTGTAAAGGTATTGAGTAGAAATTTTTCCATCAAATATTTAAATCAAATTTTAAAAACATGCAGTATGTCCCATATAAAACCAGAAATCCTTAAACAATAAAGCATTGGTTATGCAAGTTTCTGAATTCTATTGTTAATAAGACTAAGTTTTGAAAAAAGTATCTTTGACTAATTTTATTTTTTCATTTGTCTCACATTTTCCCAACATGAAAATTACAATAATTTACTCAATTGGTGAGTGGGACAGGTTTTATGTGAGATATACTATAGTTTTATGTAGTAGAAATGTATATATCTTTTACTGAAAAATGAGATAAAATTATAATCCACTTCAGCACAAAATTAGCTAGAATATGGAATTAAATTTTACCAAGTTCAAAAGTATTAGATTTAGATTATCATCTATTATGTAGATAATTCTTATAACAATTTTTAAAAACTGAAAATTTATTATTATCCATTAGAATTAGTTAGCTCTTAAATTTGTTAACCTACCATTTATAATAAGATAAATTTCATAATTAATAAAAAATAAGATCATTATTAATGTAAAACCAGACTCGGTACATAGGTTCAAGTTAAAAGAATCAACAAGTTTGATTTAATGAGACTATATGTGGAAAACCCTATTTTCTCCTATACCCTCCACACTTTGACAGGTCAATGATCATTTTCTCTTATATTCTGTGTGATCACATATGATTAAAATTAATAATCATTAAATCATGCCATTAGAACTTTGCATTGCCTTCTTTTGCTACAGCATTCTTATTGGGTACAAGGCACCCAAACACACCACAAACTTGACAATACACTCAAAAGTGCCATAAACTGTATAGAAAGTATTATTTCAGTTGAATTTATTGTTCAATAATTGTCTTAAGAAGTTTTGATTGTAGAAAGACAATGTGATTACATTTAAGTTTACTTTGTATAAATTTGCCTGATTTTGAATGCTTAAAGATGGATAATTATTTGTTGTCTTCAATCACAAACTTTGTTAATTTTTTTGATAAATATTTTAGTATCACCAGACATGCTTTACAAAGTATTTTTCCCCAAAATCACTAATCCAGTTTCATAAAATGATTTAAAAAGATAAAATCAATACTTAAATAAGTGGTGAAAATTTACTTTATTTTTCAATTTTGAAATATTTTGTATATACTGGAATGTGATTTACACAAAAATTTAAAAATATTTTTTGAATGGAAATTTGAAAAAATTGAAGTGTTATATAAAGAATTAAAGGTCATAAAAACATATTATTTTTAATTTAGCCATTAAATTTTCATTTCCATTATATTTATAAAATACTTACATTATTTAATATTAAACAGTATTTAGCTTTGCTTTATTGATTATAAATCTTGGTTTATAGGTAAATATAATTTGTTAGAATGTTTGAATTAAATTTATTTTGTAAAAAGAATCATTAAGCAATGTAGCAAGTCATTAAATACTCAATAATACATGCAGTGTCTTAATTGAAATTGCTAAGTGTTGTTGTTTAAATATTTTGCAGAAACAAAAATTATAAATTATATAATTATACATTACTTATATATTGTAAAATATTTAAAGAAAATAAATAGTAATATTTAAAAATGAAGAAAATTTTTAAATTTACAATTATCATACAGAGATAAATAAAGAGCAAAATATAGTTTGGTATTAATCAGAATTGAATTTAGTGGTCTAATAATATTGAAGTCATAAGATCAAATATCTATCTTGGTCTAATCAATAACTTTATTGGCAAACTGTCAGTAACATGAGGCCTTGTGTCGTCTTATATATTTTGTGAGTTTGGAAGAGTTATCATCATCTGTATTATCATAATTAGCCATGAAAAACAACTTTTAAATGCAGTTTAGCAGCTGCATTTCTAAGCACACATTACATCAAGCTGAGAAAATTCTGGCACTGATTTTTTTTATCTAGACTCTGGCAAAACAATCTGGACTATTTTTCTACTATAAGAGTTGTCATTTGTGACCAGTAGCTTATCTGTAAATAATTGCTCTTACCATCTTCTTTGGCATCCTCCCATACATGGACTTGGATTTCAACCTCTCTGTTGTCTGAGTACTTCTCTGCAGTTGTATTATCAAGAAATGTTTCATCAATTTGTTAATCTTTTGAATTGATTTGAAGTGGTTTGACTTATCTCGAATTCAATCTCAAGTGTTTTGTTATTTTCTGTATAAATGACAAATTTATCTGTAACTACAAATGATATTGAAATGATACATTGATCCATATATTCTTATTCCCTAAACACAAAGATATATTGTCTAAGTAAAATATACAGCAGAATCTGAATTATACTTAGATATTCACTTGATACTGTCATGGATTTATTCACTTTGCTACTCATTTTATTGTTAGGATCTACTTATCTACATAGACATTTTGAAATATCAACTTATTTTTTTTTGTATCAGAATGATCCTTCTTGCAATCCTTGTTCAGACAAGAATTTAAATTCTTGTGCATTTGAGACTTCTTTTTTTAATTGGTAGCTAGATAAACTGCTTCAAACTTCTCTGTGTAAACAATCAGCCTATCAGCATTATGCTAATATGTAGCTTACATTTATTATCAGTAGCCACTATCTTTTTCTGAAGAATTATATATTCTTGTATTAGAAAATCTATTTTCATTGAAAATTGTCATTATCATAGATGTAATAATCTAAGATTTCTTCTCCTTTATCTGCTTCATTATTGTTTGAATACTATGGCTTCCTTTCTCTCTGTTTTAAAGAATTTCTGTTCTGTATTTTTATAGTTTCCACTCAGGTATAATGTTAACTTCACTGTATTTTTAATTCTGTTTTTAGAAAGTTATATCATCATATATTTCTTTTGTTAAAAATGATGAAATTATTTATGCTTTGAAATCATCTGATTTCATAAACTGAAAACGTTTAAAAGTTCTCAACAAGTTTAATAATTTAGAAAGCTTTTTTAGTATGAGTGAGATATTTCCTTTGTCCATTAGAAATATTGATCTGAATCTTTGTTTCTGTTTCTTAAGAGTTAAATTTACAAGAAATAATCAATAAATAAAATTGTTTGCTTGTTCCTGACTAATTCAGTTAATTGGATCTTTTCTTCTATTTAAGCATTCTTATTGTTTTTCTTATTTTTTTGTTCTCTCATTCCATTTGGACTGAATTTAGAAAATTACAAATTCTTTAAGATCTTCCATTTTCTCCTCCTGTTGTTTCTACATTCTTGTAATTGAAAAGAATACAAATATCAGAGTATTTAATAGACTGTTTCTTCTCTTGCTTTTTTGTAAATAAATTCCACATTTTCCTCTCATCTTTTTCTTATTAAGTTTTGATCATAATGACAAGGAAGAGAAATAGTTACTTGAAACCCTAAATGTAGCTTAGGGTTGACCCAAAGAAAGCAGGGTCCATTGCGAAATTCTAACGCAGGGCCTTATAGAAAAAGAACAGTAAACATTTTTAAATAACAAAAAAGAAAAACTCAAATAATCTTGTATATAAAAATTAATCAATCTTATTAATTTGTCTCTTTTTATTTATGTACAAAATAAGTATTCATTCCCATTTCATTTATATTCCATTTTCTTATATCTATTTCAAATTATTTTGAGTCCTGTGCACCATTCCTACTGTCTTCAGATTGACCCTGATATAAGTTGATCTATTTGTTACATGTCATTTTTTTTATGAATTAAATGAAGTGCTTACTTCTTAATTATGACAGTGAATAGTTTTCATTTTGGAAAGCTTTGTGAATCATGTCTTTGGAATAAATGAATTTTTTAATAGATTCTGGAACTATACTTAGAAGAACCATATTCCTATCCTTCAGAATTACTCTGTTTGCTATTTTATGTCTTAACAGTCTCTTTCTTTTAAAGTCACCTATTATTCTAGATTGCATCTGTCCTATATTCTAATAGACATACCTTTCTACACTCTTAAATTCACATAATGCCTTCAAAGAAAGTTAAAGATTGGATGTTGCAGGATATGTCACTTTTACATATTTACTACCTATTGATTAGTTTATTTCTTAAATTCTGTAAAACTTGACAAGTGGATGGCTACATTTTAATTGCTATCGACATATCTTTTTTTACATGGATAATCTGCTAGAATTTAATATGCATTTTAAAAGAATAAATTTTTAAAATATTCATAATGAAAAAAATCAAATTTACTTGAATACTAAGAATTATGTACTAAAGTAATATAAGCTTTATTAGCTTATATTATATTATGAAATAAATATAAATATTGTATTACAAAATGTTTTATATTTTATGCATTTTTATAATGCTGTTTTATAATTCTTTTAATTGCAAAAGTGTTCAAATACATTTATTAATTTATTTCTTGGAAAGATAATGCATTGCAAAGCAACAGAGAAATCTTACCATTTGAAATATAACATAACCTGAGATCATAACAAATTGATACAGACAAAATCTCTATCAATTTGTTATCTAAAAATGATTTGATGCCTATAGATTTATTTCCATGTTTATTTTAGAATCTATTGGTTTTTTTTTTTTTAAATTATCTTTGATTTGATTTATTATATTTATAAAGAGGTTGACTGTATTAAAAATTCATGCAAAAACACTAAAGTGAAATAAACTACTTTTGCCTCAAAAAATAAAGTAATAATAAGAATAAAAACTTATGAACTGCTTTAAAATGTAAATAAAATAAATAGGGTAAAATTTATTAGAATTATCCTATCATACGTTGTTATATTGATAACACTATAAATATTTTATGAATTGATATTTTTATATAAAGCTATTTTATGATGTGAAGAGTGTATTAGACTTGTTCATTTTATTACAATGATATACATTTTTTTGTCAATTTGAAGTCATATTTGTATTACTTAATATTATATAAATAAACTGAGTAATATCAAATTGATATAAAAATATACATCATTTAAATCAAGTAATAAGCAGAACTAGTTTGAAATAAATTATTATTTATAATAACTTTTGCTGTATTCTTTTACTGTTTATAAAATACTAATATTTTATATTCTTATATTTAAATTTTACTTAAATGAAATAATTTACTTCATTTAATTACAAAGCTAGCTGATTACTTAAAAGCAAAATATTGCTTTTTAATGGTTTTAATTTTATTTTTAAAATAAAAACAGTTTATTATATACCAAAACTAAAATTCTGGCAGGAAAATTATTAAGATTTATTACATTTTAAAATATGAATTTTGAAATATAGAATTTTATTTATAATACACACATTAAATTATAGAATAAAATTATTTGATGTTGAAATGGTCTTTTGCATTAAGTAACATTGTGAATATTACTTTTTTCCAAGAATTTTAACAGACTATATTAAAAAGTTTTGTTTATTTATCCACATAATTAAATAACAAAATTTTGATAAAAAGTAAGTAGATGAATATAAATGATGATATTTAAAGTTTTTATAAATACAACATTATAATACATAAATTTTTAAATCTCTGCAGAAATCTAAATATTCATTTGAGATTTGAAATGACTAGCATACTTTATACAGCATTATTTGTTATAAAAATTAATTTTAAAAACAAATATACATATAAGAAAATAATAAATTTTTATAATATCCAACTTTTCTTCCATAAATATATATTAAAATACAAAATATTTTCAATATAAATGTAATTATACTAAAAATTCATATTCATAACAATATGAAATTCACAGAGGAGCCATATTTGGAGTAATATAAACTATTTCTTTGATAAACATTCATTCACAATACTATTATTATAAAATTTTAATGTTTAAATGATTCAAATTACTTCTGAAATAAAAATATAAGTTTTGGAAGATGGAACGATTAATGCATCCAGATATTACTGAAATATGAAAGTTTTCCTATGATAAATAATATTTCATTAAACTTCTTGAAAATGTATAAAATTGTATAAAGTTTAGATAAACTAAACTTTAAAAACGAATATAATTTTTGTAAATTCTTTCTGTCTTTATTAGATAATGAATATTCATTATTGCATAAATGTTATCTAAAATTCTTAAGTTCTAAGGCACATTTTGTAAATTATAATTAAAATTTCTTCATCTTTATATTAACTACATACAAACCTTCTATCAAATTAAGAAGGAATTTTATTTCTTAAAATAAAAAAATTGGAATTAAAAAGTTTTATTAGATATAATTTACATTTAACAAATTAAAATAATTATAAATTTCAGTAACTGAGAGAAACTAAATAAACATAAAATAATATTTACAAAAAGTTAACAAAAATAATGAATAAAATAAAACAATGAATTTAATATAGAATTATTATTATTTTCAATTTATAAAATCTGTATAGGACATTTTATTAATTTCTTTAATCAGAAATCATGCTGCCATTAGAAAATGCATGCATTTTTCTTTACATCATATCAAAGTACCTCATCTAGTAATTGTCTCAAACGTTGTAACTGCGCTTCTAGTTGACGATTATGATCTTCAAGGATTTGCATTCTTGCTTCTAAGCGTCCTTTATGTTGACGTAATAATTTGGCTTCTGCCAACATTTCTTCATCTCGACATGGAGTAAGAGCAAAATCTTCTTCCTCTTCAGTAGCAGTAGGTGAAAGAGTTCTATTTGGTCTAGTTCCTCTTAAACGCTCATATTCTGCCTGAAGATGCCTTTATTTAAAATAAATATTAACTTATAAAAATGTAAAAAAAATATTTAAATCATTTTCTAATAATCTTATTAATATATTTTGATAAGTGATATTTAATTAGTAATAAAACATCAATATTAGTTTTTATTCAAATACAATATATACAGCAAGTCCTCCCTTATCAACAATATAACAAAATGATAATGAAAAAGAAAAAGTATATTTTTAACCATTTACAGTTAGAATTGATTTCACCATTTTAACAATAATATGAAGTGAAAAATAAATGCTTGAGGTTACAAACATGAATTAATAATAACCAAATTTTTTCCTTGCAGTCTGATTATTATTATAATGAATGAAAAAGTGTATTCACATTGACAACATGTAAGGCATTGACATTAAATAATGCAAATTGTAAACAAACTTGTTCTGTTTGTGTTCACTGTTAAATTTATATAGTGTTGTAGTTTGTTGTAGAGTTTGGCAAAGCTCAGCTATTTAGAAATGCTGGGGTGTATTGCAGAAAAACCCATTTTTGAAATTAAATTGCATCTGTAATAACAACAGATACACAGTATGTGAATATGTTTTTATTTGAATTAAAAAAAATTACTTGAGTATCAAGCAATTGAACTGTAAATAATTTTTAAAAGTAATGAGCAAATTAAAAATTGCAACCTGGCATTATGAAGATGTCACAATAAATAATCATATTTTAGTTTAAAAATTAATTGGGGCCTCCAGCCTTTCCTGTATCTGGTCTCAACCTTCATCTATTTAACTCTGTCTCGAGATTAACAAAGGACATACAGACTGACAACGGTGGAAATTCATAGGTCTGCAAATTTCAGACCACGAAAGGGTAATATTTTAAAATGATACAGATAATGACAACCATTTCTAACAAAACAACAGTCCCAATAATTTGAAATGGATGGGACTGAGACTACCTTGGATTACAAATATCTTGAAGTACAGATTGGAGCTGAGCTGTGAGCTGATCTCAAAATTCCTTGAAAATGAGATGATTGTCAAAATTCCAAACTGTAACTTAGCTCAGCTCCTTTGATAGAACTAGTTCATTGCAATCACCAATTGTTTATATTTAAACTGCATTATAGTAGTAGGAGATGCTTTTCAGTCTTCACTTTGTAAACATTTATTTTTTATCACTCATCTTTACCCATCAGCTTCATTTCCCATATTACCCACTACTACTCAGTGATTCCCCAAAATTAGTAAATAATTATCTTAACTTGTATAACTTAAACTTCTAAATTGTGACCTAAAACAATTGTAAGATTATTAAATTTATTTTAATGTTTAATGTTTTTGTGATCAGAAATTTGCAATATTGATATAAACAATATTAAGTTAAGTTCCTAATATTGCAACTTTAATATATAAATCTGTCAATATACAGTAGACTCCCCTATAATGCGGGTTCGTATATCGCGGCAAAAAAATTGCGACCATATTCGTATAAAGACGCTAAAAGAGACTCGTAAAATGCGGTAAAACATCATCGTCGAATCTGGACCAATAGTGGACGAGCAGCTGAACTACTTACACGCTACGGAGAGTTTAGGCGGATAAGTTGAGTTTACTATCATCTGTACAGTATATAGGCCTAAATTAGTTACTGTAAGTCTAATACAGTACTGTAATTTTATACATTTCTTGTGAAAAAAAACATTTCTTATTCAACAGCCATAAAAATTATTTCTATTAATGATGTCTCCAAAGTTCAATGAATTTTTCGCAGTAAAATAACTTATCAGAAAATGCATCTGCCGTTTGGTGCGCTGCTCTGCGATGAAAATAAGCTTAAGCAATGGCGTCATCAAACGGTGCACACTCTGAGTAATCCTACAACTTTTTGTTTATAGCATAGTTTATACGGATTATTCGAAAAAAATTATATGTGTTTTGGAAAGTTGAGTCAAATTCGTCTAGAATTGATTAATTTTATGGAAGAAAACCTTTCAAACAGCTGTAGTCCGTAAACTGCATACATGCTGGGCTGTGATTGGCTCATGTATTTAAGGATTCCTACAATGCAAAATTCTTATAAAGTAGAATGTATCTACTGTGTTATAGCGGGGTCGACTGTATAAATAAAAATGTAAATGTTTGTTTGTTCAAAATCTTAAATCTCTGAAAGTTCTTCCCCGATTTGCTTAGAAATTTTGAAACAACGTTGCATTCAAACACGCACATATTTTTATTTTATATAGATATCAAAATTACCCCCCATGGGGAGAGGGACAAAATTAAGACTTGCCATGAAGAACTCAGCTTCTATTATACTATTTTAGATTACGTTTTAATGGGGTACGTCAAGAGATTTTTTGAAATTTTCCCCATGGAGCATGTTATACATTTATAATAGATACATTTTAAGCCACAGCAATGTGTGGTCAGGTACAGCTAGTAATAAATAAAATTGTTAATAGGTTCTTGAAAACTGGTTTTGTTATACATTGTTTGATTTAAAGTCCTCACTTAAAAATAATAAATTATTAAATATTCAATTGAAATTTATTTCACTATAAATTTTAAGTTAACTTTTTTGGTTCTTATAAGGATATTTAACTGTTTCAAAAATTTTATAAATCAGTAATAGAAAATAAATAGTAAATTTTATTATGGTCTATATATACCGATTTTCTTCTTCTAGTTCGTGTATCATAGATTCTAACTCTTCTCTTTGTTCAGCATCTATAACTGCCACAATTTGTGCTGGACTTCGAGGCTGAAATAATATGTAACATCAAACGATAAACTAATTGCAATTTGAAAGTTATTATTGTTTTATTTACATTAAATATTCTAATATAAGTAATAGATATGTATTATATCAATGGTGTGGTTTTTTATATATTCTTTTGAATGTCAATTTTAAAAAAAATTGACATTCAAAAGAATTACATATTCTATAAAAAATAATTTTGATTATTATTGAATAGTTTAAAATACTAATTCAAACAAGTATAATCTATTTATTATAATCATTTTGTGCTTTGCTTATACTGATGATTTTAACCAACTGCAAACATTAAGCAGGATTAATAGACTGCAGTTGGTAAAATTCTGTATATTAACTCTGATGTTAAAAAATATGTTAATAGATGGATTGTTTAATTGTTTTAACACCCCTAATTTTTCTAAATACTCTTATTTCTGTTGTTTCTAATTTTTTGTAAATTCTCTTATTTCTCACCCAACTCACAGAACTATATGTCAAAACAGGTTTAAAAATTGTGTTATACACAGCTAGTTTTGTCTTATGACTTATTTCTTTCTTGTTCCAGATATATTTGCTCAATTGGCTCCTGCCTGACCTGTCTTGCTTAATATATTGCTGATTTCCAAATCTAACTTTCCATCTTCACTAAAAATTGTTCCTAAATATGAGAACCTATTGACATTGTTGTTACCAAGTTTAACTGTTAGTCTCTCTCTCAATCAATAACCATAACTTTGTTAACTGTAGCTGATTGACAAACCAAAATTCCGGCCACTTTCCTCTAAATTATTTAAAGATTGCTGGAATTCTCAGGTTTATTACTTAATATACTACTCAAATACCTTATAAACTGCAGCCAAATTTATTAACAATTTCAAACGTTTTTGGTCATCTTTAATGACCTTTATCAAGAATGAACGAAAATCGAATGCTGACTGATTTGTATTAACAATAAATGCGTTTTGGAACGCTTAAAAAAAAAACCAATTGTTTTTTTTTTATTGAGTAGTATATCCTTGTTATGATATGCAGTCTACGAAGAGATTATTGCTTAATAAAACAAGATCATCCAACAGAATAAAGAAACAACCTTTATATTTCCCAAACTGAAGTTTGTCAATAGTTTTGATTCTTTTATTAAATTATCCATGAAAATTATAAATAATAAAGGGGACAACATACACCCTTGTCTCACCCCTTGTTTTACTTGGAACCAGTAACCAAGTTGTCCTATCCTTACAGCTGATTTATAGTTCTTATACCAGCTTTGGATTCCCCTTAGTAGAGTATCCTTTATGCCATATTTCTCAAGAACTTCAAAAAGTAATCCTCTAGGAACTGTATCAAATTCCTTCAATGAATTCCAAGTATAATTTATTGTTATATTTCCATGCATTCTCTGTCAGTTGTCTTAGTGTAATATATTTACAGTAAGACAATTAACAAAGAACTTTTCACTGTGCTTGAATATTCAAGACTTGAGAACTGGAATGGTTCAAATTTGATTAAGCTGATTTTTTTTTGGCCCTTCTCTTCAGAAGACCACTGAAGATGACATTTGAGAGACTGAAAATGTTATGGTGACCATATTGTTTCTTGCTGAAGTTTATGGTTAGGGCATTTTTGTCTTTATAAGATAATTTTATGTTTATGTTATTATGGCTAATATAAAACATTCAGTTTTAAAGAATAAAAATAGAAATAGAAATATGAAGCAACACTCAAAACTTACCACAGGAAGGGCTAATTCACCACTAAGTGTCTGGCAATATTGAGCTATTAATTGATGTTCATCTTCACTCCTAGACAAACATAATTTAAAAAATAATTTTTTATATATACTTCTGTATAGTAAATAAATAAATCCTACATTTTTTTTTCTATTAATTTAAGAATATAACAAAAATAAATACATATTAGATTATAATACAATTCTGATCACATTATTACAGATAGATATTTAAATAATTCTACGGTTACCAGCTGATAAAAAAAAGACCATTAAAAAGTATAAAAATGCAAGGATATATGAAGTATTGATGTTCTTTTTATTTACATAATACAGTGTTTCTCAACGGGGCGATATCGCCCCCATGTGGGCGTTTTTCCATATTGAGGGGGTGAAAAACAATTTTCTGGGCGATATAATAAAACATTATATTAAGAATAATTAGATATTTTATTCATTATATCGTAGAATAATTAAATAAATAACATTATACTAGTCACTAGTCTATTCAATGCAGTACGCATTTGGCGTTAGCCCTGGCCCTCGGCATCGGAATTTTGAAGTGAAGGGGGCAATTCTACGTAACAGTTTTATTGAAGGGGGCGACAATTCGTTAGAGGTTGAGAAACACTGACATAATATCTTTGAGTACTTTTTGCTTAAAGGTTAAAACTATTTGTAAATGTATTAAAATTATTTTTAAAATAAAAATTATTTATTTTTTTAATAATTTGTCATTGTTATAAAAATCATTTTCCACAAAAAATATATTTATTATTGTATTCTATCATACTTTGGGTCAACTTTCATATAAATAACACACAGAGATATTAGATACAAGAACACATGAATACTAATTTATATTTTAAGTTCAGAAATATAAGTTATAATAAATTATTATTTTATTTTTTGTTCTTAATTATAATATTCTATCAAGAATGAGTTGTCACTTTAAATTTATTCTTTCTTGTTTTTCATTCTTTTATTCTATTTTGCATTTGCTTTGATTTTAAGTGTGTAACTTATACATTTCAAGTACATCAATCCATCATTAAATGTTTCTTATTTCTTCATATTTTAAGCATTGCATCTCTCTTTTCTTGGATCAAGCTTATCAACAACTAATGCAATAATAAGGAATCTTGAATGTGTAACAAAAAATGACAAATGTACTGATACATGAAATTAATTATCATTTCACCTATATTTATCAAGAAACAAATTCTGATATATGAAAAAATCAGTTCTTTTCTGTTAATAGAACGCCAGTTGTAAGTTTAATCTGCTGTGCGATACTGTCATCCACATCACTCCTCTAAGACTATCACATTTAACTATTTAGCCCATAAGACTGAGCCAGCTTCAAGTAATTCACTTGACTGTTCTTGGATACTTGATGTTATATAGTTTTAGGGGGTGTGAGACTCATCCCCACTTGGGCACTCAGGTGTGAGTGATAGCAAGCACTGAAGTGCATGACTACATGCAAAGCATGTAGTATAGGCAGTACACTGATACATGTTAAAACTTTGGAGATGAATATCTTGCAAAGGGTCAACAATTCTAGGGTGGTGTGAAACCCCTCATTCAGAGCTTGAATCTTACTCGTTGCTGTACATATTGGCTGGCATCCCGTTAACAGAAAATAATAAAAAAATCTACTTATATAAACATTCTATTCTGCAAAACATATGCAGTAAATTTGGTAATGGCATAAAACAATGTTCTAAATAATAATGACATCTGTAAATGTCTTGAGACAGACTATCTACTCAGTGTATCATTTTATTTATCATGTTATCTAAATTTATATTAAACTATTTCTCAACATATTATATTGCAAAATAAGAGATAATTCAACATTGGATTTATAGATATGAGTTTTTAAAACTCAAGAGACTTTTTGGATTTTTATGATATATTGTTCAAGCAGTTGTACACATCTATTTCATTTTATATTAAAAAAAAGTTTTATTTAGTTTTAAATTGTTCTGAATATATGAATAAATTATTGCACTTTTTAGACCTGAAAATTTTTTCTTTCATATTGATTTGTATTTGAAGATCTAATAATAAGTAGTATATTTAGACTTCTATTTAAACTGAATATAAAAAACTTACGAATCAGGAGTGGAATTGCTTCTTGTCCTTAACTCTACTTCTGCTAACCTAAAAGGAATAATTTTATTATATTATTGAAATTACACTACTAATTGTAAATTAATCTTAATTAATGTAGCAATTTTCCAAAAATATATTAATTAAAATAATTATTTAATAAATAATGAGGATGAAAAACTGTGTAGAAATAAAGGTGCTAGTTTACTTCATGATCCAAATTGATGCAATGACATAATTGCTCACACATTAAAAAATGTACTTGTTCTTATCATGAGAGTTTTTAACTTATCTATATATATATATAAAATGGACATGTTTGTGCCTATATTTCACTCTGCAGACAAAACTACACATTGCACATGAATGGTGTTTGTGTGTGGTAGTAGCCCCAAGTCTCCCATCATGCACTATGGTAGTTGCATCTTGATAGCTATAAGGGTGTGGGAGATATGGGGGTTGAAAGTGGTTGACTTTGAAAATGTGTGATGCTTCAATGAGAATGTTCCAGTTTTTTCTAGAAAGTTCCAAAATTTTGAAGAAAGTTCTAAAATTTTCTGGAATATCATAGAATTCTCACACACATTCTTCACCCATACAACCTACCCCTCTCATTTCTTTTTAAATTAATAATACATTATAGTACATTTTTTTAATAATCAAATAAAAAAAATTAAACAAATATTCTGGAAAGTTTGGGATTACTTTAATAATTTTTAGATCCTTCAAGAATGTTCCATAATATTCTATATTATTTCAGAATCTTTTGGACGTTTCCAGAAATTTTAAATATTTTATAATTAAAAATAACTAAAAATAATTAAAAATGCAATAATAAAATAATAAAAAATAATTAAAAATACAATATTCAATGTTCTAGAATGAACTGGGCCAGAAGATTCAAAAATGTTTTGGAATAGTCAAGGACCGTTAAGTGTGAGTAGTGGGGGATGGCTTTTGGCAAAGTGTGACATGTGCTTCAGTTGATTTTTCATAAGTAAAAGTGTACGAATAACAGAAAAAGTAGAAAGTGAAAAGTGAATAGTGATGTGTGAAAAGTAAAAATATAAAAAACAATGCAAAACTGTAAGAGAGAATTTTTGCAGTCTCGAATCATATCGCAAAGGCAAAAGATGGTGTGGAGAAATGAAATCACAGAAGAAAGAGAAGTACGTCTAACATTGCTTTGAGAAAATTATCAACGAAACAGAAATAATCAGACAAAAGAGCAACTTGAAAATTTTAGGGAAACACATCAAATCAGAGAAAGATTATGTAGAGAAAGAGAAACAAGTGCACAGTTGATTGAAAGAAGAAAGCAGAGTAGACAATCATACACTTAATTGTTGGCAATTGTTTCTACAGTTTATTGTTGATATGCAAGCATAAACAGAAAAACTATATTACATATAAATGTACAAACAAATAAAACCCAGCAAAGCGAGTACTTTCAGCTAGTTGAAATAATAAATTTATTAATTACATTTAATTATCTTTTAAATTAAATGAAATTGTTTTTGAAACCTCATTTATAAAGACAGCACTTCTTGATTCATCAAAAAGGGTAATCAATCAAACTGTTTTTTCACTTCAATAAAAAAAGACCTTATTGAAATAACTCTCTTTTAACTTTGTTTACATGAACACAACTTTTTAGGTTATCAGTAATAGGAAAATTGTATGTACATTTTGTTTTATTATTTTATTTTTTAAAATGTTTTTAGAAATTTATTTATTGTTTGTACTAGTTTGGAGTTTAGAAAATTCTGAAAGCTTGTTTAGTAATAACCACACATGCAAATCTCTTTTTTTCCCATGGTTGTTGCGTGTGGAACTTAAAACATTAAATTCAAATTTGATTTAATTTGTACATAAGCTTAATTGACAAATTGTCATACCATATCATTTAAGTTAAGTAACAAGTTTGTGTGAATTTTGCTAGTTTTTAAGGAAAAGTGTTAACTTTTTTGTCATTATTTGCACATAACCAAATAAACAGTAATTAGTTTATTATCCATTTTATGATGTTGGAATGGTCCATGATGATTGTTTTAAAGTTTATTAGGTAATTACTTTTACAAAATTAATATATTACAGTTTATTTCACTATCCATACTGTTATAACCAACAAGTTATAAAAATGTAGATTGTATTATTATAGCAATTTTCCAAACTTACCCTTCAAACTCACTACAAAAACTAACCAAATGCTATAGCATTTTAATTGATGGGATTATAAAGGAAATTTGTTTATGTGTACTTTGGATCTAACTAGCTAAGAAGCCTTGTTTTAATAACAATCATTTTTGTCCTTAGTGTTAAAATTACATTTTTAACTGATTATAATGGAAATTAATTAAAGTGTCTTCTTTGATTTAATAGTTTGCTAATCACTTGGATAATAAAGGAAACACGTCAACATTTACTTTATCCAATTTGTAGATTTTATTAAGTTTTCATCTGCCATTTGTTCAACTTCTTTGATTTTTTAGAATACTAATCAATAGGATCCTGAAAGAAGTTTGATGTTTACTTTGTTATCCATTTTGGTACAATTTTTATTTATTTAACTTCTGTGTTTTAATTGTTTATAATGTTTAAAGAACTTCCCCAAGAAACCAAGCCCAACTTTTTAACTTAATCTCCAAAAGGAAATGCTTTTCCCAAGTGTCATTACTAAAGTAAACTGTTTAAAATTTCTTAGCTCTTGTAAACAAAGGCAAGAAAAGTATACTTTCACATGCAACATTCATACTCATATTACATGGTGCATGTATTCTGTTGCTAATAGACCACCAGGTAAACAAGCACTGAAATATTCATTCAAATTAAGTTTCTTCCTTCTAATAAACAATGTTTCCTTATTTCTTTTTAGAATTTTGTTTTCCTTCAAATCAAAGTTTATTTTGGAAATTTTTTTATTTTTATTTTAGAAAAATCATTTCTTAATATNTTTTGGAAATTTTTTTATTTTTATTTTAGAAAAATCATTTCAAGAGTTTTAATTAAATGATAAAGCTGGATTCATTGTCAGGCTATAGCTAGTCTGACAATGAATAAAAATAATAATAATGAAATAAAATTAAAATTTGATAATAAAATTAAAAAAAAATCAAGCTCAAATTATATTTATAAATGTTTAATACATTTTACAGAAATTAATCTACTGTTAATGTCAGGGTTTGGATATAATGGAGGGTAATGTCGAAGGTAACACAAAGAAAGTGGAGAGAACTAGAAAGCGATGTCCGTTAGACCACAGCACACATTCCAAACTAAACTATACTGGACCAGAGTACAATTCCCTTGACGAACATAACAGACCCCACACATAGCAGAGGGGAGGGCGCGACGATCACAAAGACAAAGGTCACATACACAACTTTCTAACAGTTAAATATAATTTAAAAATTTCAAAACAAACATTAGGAAAGCCTATATCGAGCTTTTGAAAATCAATGGTATTATTAGACTTCTCTATCTTTATGACTATTGGTCTGGTTTGCCTCTTTCACTTAAACTTATATAATTAGCATTTATATACTGTACATATAGTTTTTGACTAGATGGTTATTTTGTGCATTTATGCACAAACATGATATACATGCAATTTAAGGTCATTTGCAGGTCATATGGCAAGCATCCTTATGACCTGGCCCAGGATTTTGTTGACAAAACTGCATCAAACAGCTGGTTAGATTGGGGATGCCTCTTTGGGGAGATGGAAGGATTCATGATTGCCATTCAGGATCAGGCCATAAATACTAAAAACTACAGAAAATACATACTCAAAGATACAACACTCACAAATGACACATGCAGAAAATGTCACATCATGCCAGAAACTATACAACATATCACTTCCAGTTGCAAGCTCCTGGCACAAACAGATTATTTACACAGACATAATCAAGTAGCAAATATAATACACCAAGAGCTTGCAAACAAGCACAACTTGGTAGACATCCACGAACCATACTACAGGTATATTCCACAGACAGTATTGGAAAACAACACGTACAAAATGTACTACGACAGAGCCATAATCACAGATAAAACAATTTACCACAACAGACCAAGCATCACACTCATTGACAAACACAATAAATTTGTTGCTTAAACACTATGTAGTGCAATAAATTCTAACACTTGGCATTCTTTCATCTTTATTTTAATTTAGTTGCTATGCATTTTAAATTACACATTTTGGGCGTAACATGCCCCTCTTTAGCCAACTAAAAAGTTTTGCTTAAGCAACAAAGAAGAATTACAACATGGTTTCGGATTATCATACACAATAAAATCACATACATTATTAGACATATCCATTCCACTCACAATGTACAAAACACATTCACTGAAAAAAATCAGCACGTACTGTACATGGAACTTGCCCAGGAAATAAGGCATCTGTGGAGGATGGATAGGGTGCTTATTGTACCCAGGGGCAGATCTACATAGGGACTAATAGTGCTTAAGCCCTGGACCCCCAAATGTCAAGGGCCCACAAAAATTGAATTATCATTATAAATTTTTTAATTAACAATTAGCACTTATTATTAACTATACAATACTATTAATTATCATTATTATTACTATATTATTAATATTTGTTTTATTGTAATCAACGTAACGTAATCGGTCAGGTCACCAAGTTGCAATTTTAAATCCACTGTCTCAAATTTAAATGCTGTAAGGAGACTAATAATAATGACTATAAGGCAATGTCAATTCTTAATCTAACAAAAATGAGGCTTTATTGGACTTCAATAAGCTCTAGGCTCCAAAAAACCTAAATCCACCCGATTGTACTTGTCATTCTCTCCTCTGTAGATGTCATACCACACACACTAAACAAAAGCCTGGGAACATTACAATTGAATAGAAATAAATACATCACACTACAGAAGCCACTATATTGAAAACATGTCATATTGTTAGGAAATTCATGAATACAGACATACACTGACATACTTATTTAATTTTTGTCTTGTTTTGGTTACAATGCCTTGACTCTGGTCCGGCATAGTTCACAGCCACCAGTATCAACTGAGTATAACTTACTAAACCCAACATAATAATAATATCAAAACCAACATGGAGTGTATTACATATTTTGAACTATTCTTTGAAGCAAGAACAGTTTATTTCCTGATGATGATAATCATGACTAATATTTGATGCAAAAAGTAGAACTCCATCCACAAATTCAATTGTTGCCTGCATAGACACAGATTATGAGTTGTCAACTGGATTAGAAAACTCTTATAGATATCAAGATAAAGAATATAATCAAGGTATATGAGATTTCACCAGTACTGCTTTCCAAAATTTAGAAGCCATATGACCAGCATTAATGAATGTTTTATTCAGATAATATTCTTTTCTTGACAATATTGATAGATTGTTCTCATGTAACAATGTTTCTGTGCCATAAGTTATGATGATTCTTGTAACTTTGAATTCCAATTTACTTACATTTGGTAAATCAGGATCATTTATTTCATTAAGAGTGTATTTAATTATAGAAGACTCATTTCCAAGAAAAACTGATGAATTGTACTTCTAACGGCAGTGCAGACAAAACCACTCACATTTCATATCTTCTCTTTTCTTTGTGCAAAATCTCATTTTAACTCATGACTCCACCTTTCCAATTACCAATCTTTCTTTCACAGTAAAAATGATTGAAAGTGATCAGAAGTGAAGTTTGCTGTGCTGCCGCTTCAACTGACAGAATTGTTCAGTTTATAAGAACAAAATCCATCTTTTTCTTGATTTAATTAAGCAATTATTTAATAAACATTAAATTTAGACAATGATATTGTAAGGAACCAAGTCCGAGCATTATTTTTTAGTTATTTTTATTTTTGTTTGAGACTTATGTTTTGTTGGGATGAAGGTTTCCTCACCACTCACCTTAGAAACTTAAAAATAGAAGAAAGAGAACCAACTCACCAACGAAAAAAAGCGCTGTAGAAAAACTCGCACACACTTGCGCTCCCGAGCGGAAAAAAAGTAAGTCCGCACTGAGAAAGAGGGGGAGACCCTATGTTCCTTAGGTTTAAAGGTTTAGCAAGAGGAATTTGCTAAACCTTTAAAGAATAAAACATCTCAAAAAATTGTCAAAAAGAATAATGTAAAAGGTTAATGAGTATTGTCAGGAAATAGGCTGCCAGGCAGATAGGAAAAGTTTACTGTTAGCGATAAGTATGTAAATGAGGGGAGTGATCTCAATCAGAATTGTGACGTCATCTCATAGTATAAAGTCCAAACCTCAAGTGAAGATGACCGAGGTGAGCTTCATAGCAGCAAACAACAAGAGGTGTCTGATAGTGATAAAGTGGTTCTAAGGCAATTTGAAGTTATGCAATTTGTGGATCGAAGATTAGGAAGTCTTGAGAGTTGAGGAAAAAGATTCCTAGTATATTGAGGTGACGATTACTGACCTTAGTTCATAAGAATTGTTGTACATAAGTTAAGTCTTTGAATTTTTTAATCAAATTCCAAAGAGGAATAGATTTAAGTTAGCAAATAGATTGATTTGAGTTTTGTCGGGTTGATTCTTATTGATTTTCTTTGAATAAATTTGTTGTTTGATTGTTACTAATTTTTGTACATTGTCAGTATTTCTTTCGGTGCATGCTTAAAGTTAGTCATTATTAGAATTATTAAATATTGGATTGGTTTTGACTAAGTCCAGGCCTGGCACATTAACGTGAATCCGCGTAAAGTACCCGTTAGGTAACAGCTATTTCCGGCATACAGTCATGTCAATAATCGTTGTAAAAGGCATAAAACAAAAAATAACTTAGACTTTACAATATATACAACTCAACCATTACAAATATGGACTAAAGCCCCGTTATTCTTTTTATCAAAATTAGAATAGATTACTAAATAAGAGATTAAAATCATTTGATTTGAATCTCTCATTTAGTAGTAATCTATTCTACTAAACTGAAGATTGGTAACCTAACATTATACCTATTAGCATTTGCTTATTTTATTAACTCATCTAGTTTGCTAACTTTGTAAAATTATAAAATATGTTTCAACTGTTATATTAAATTAGGTAGAGATTTATTTCTAAAAGAGTTTAATTTATGTTTGTATTCTTCATCTGATAGTTTGTTTATTATATATATTTATTGATACCAATGATATGTGCTGATTCTGATTCTAGATAAATAAATATAGTTCTACAACACATAAATTATACATTAAATCATATTAAATATTCACTTACTGTGATAAATATGCACTTTACCTGTTAGCATAAAGTTCTAATCTGGAATGCATTTCTTGTGAAGATAAGGTATGTTGAGGTGATGGAGCAGGGCTTTCCAAATCATCACCTTCTAATACAGTTTGAACAGGAAGATATCCTAACCTAGGATGCTTCTTAAAATACCTCTTTGATTTAAATTTATTGCGTACAATACGAGTAAAATCTCTTACATCTTCTCCAGAGGTAGTCTAGAACAAAAGTTCAATTAGTATTTTAAAATAAATTTTAATTTAATTAAATATAAATTAAAATAAAATTTTTTGATATTTATGTAGAATTTATTTTCAAAGTAAATAATTAATTTTTAATTACAGAATAACATATTAATAACAAATTTCAAAATAAAAATGTAACTTTCTTTCTAAATTTAATAACTACTTAAAAAATTATTTATAAAATATTAACAATGTCCAATTAGTAAGAGAAAAAATTGTTTATACATTAGTTGATTAACTTAAAAAATTAAAAGCAATTACAATATTTGCATTTCACTTTTATTTTTCTTTTACCATCCAGATGATATTCAAGCATACAGGGTAGCTAGTCATTAGGGACCAGAAAAGCCATACTCTACCAGTAATTTTATCAAACCACATTAATCAAGATGCTTCCTGTTAGTGAGTAATTTAAATTATTTATTTTTTTAATAATTTGTCATTGTTATAAAAATCATTTTCCACAAAAAATATATTTATTATTGTATTCTATCATACTTTGGGTCAACTTTCATATAAATAACACACAGAGATATTAGATACAAGAACACATGATATTGACTACTGTTAATGATAAATACAGTCAACTTGCCTTAAAGCGAACATGAATAAAGTGAATTATCACGTTAAAGCAAATTTTGCCATTGCTCTGGTAAAACCACCATTATTGCATAAAAATTAATGTTGTGACAAAGTGAACAAAAATTTACCACACTTCATTAAGCCAAACTTTAACTCCACAACTCTAAGACATAAGCCTACTTCCAGTTATGGTTGCTTTTTAGTTTTTGATGTAAACAATAAAAATCAGTACTGTAATAAATGTTTACAATTCTATGCACAGTAAACTAGAACTTTGTATAATAAGTTTCACAACACCTTTCTTTCTTTTTTCTAGCACTTTCTTTAATGTAACTAACATTTTTGGCCATTTTAAATTTTAATTCTTGATGTTTTAAATTTATGTTCTGATTCATTTTATATCTGATATTCTATTTTGTTTAACTTGAAGAAGGCCATTTAAAATGGCTGAACATGTTAGTTACATTAAAGAAAGTACTAGAAATAAGAAAGATATTGTGAAATGTATTGTAATAAATGCTCTATTTTGAGTAGAATAGATATTTTCCTCAGTAAACAAAAATGGGTTCAACCTCTGATTGTAAAGAATTCAAACATTTGGGTTTAGTGGACCATTCTACCATATTCAGAAAATAGGCATTCACCTGTCCTACGATGTTCCCGAAAATATTCATGTTGTCCTCATTGACCTGCGTGGGTGATCCCCAATATTTTTGTGTTTACATTGGAACGTTTTTTATATTAAAACGAACTTTTAAAATATAATTTTTTTGTTTCTATATTATTTAATATATTTATTTTGCTTGTGAAACATAAAAAAATAATTTTTTAAGATACAGTAAACATGATTATTATTTAAAAAAAAAAATTAGGCTTAACATCGACGAAAATTCAACACAACGTCACAGGCAACGAATAAAAATTTCAACATTGAATACGTTAAAGTTTAAGGGCACTCACCCCTTTAAATGGATGAGCTCCATGCAAACATGTGCTAGTTTGCATATTGGGGAGTGCATACGGTTATGTCAGATTAGACTACTTTGTGCCAAATTTGACTTTTTTTTTTTACTCTTTTGACACCAAAAACTTTCACTTTTTAAAATAATCTTCAACAGAAAACATAACAAATTTCTTTTAGCTTTATTTGATAATTCTGATTATATTACACACTTAAACAGCAAATATAGTCTCCACATTTTGTTTGATCTGAAAAATCATTTATAATTTGTTTTTGTTAAATTTTATTTAGTAAATTAATTCAAAATACCGTATTATATTTTAAAGATTTTGATCATCTGTTAAGCATTAACTACTTAAATTATACAACCTTGAGCATGAAACTCATTTATACAAACTTTTGATAAAGCAAACTAACTACTGTTTCTCTAGTGATTTGTATTAACACAAGTTAACTGTTGTAACTATTTGCACTAGTGGAATATTTGTGAGTTTATAGAGCATTGGGGCCAACTTAGGGAAGCTTACTCTTAACTGTTTAACTTTGTAACGATACCCATACTCCCACATAATCTCTTTTAATTAACAATTTTTTACAGTTTATTTCTTATTTCATGATTTATAAATATATTTTAAATCATTTGTTTATGTACTGTTTTCATTCATTTCAATGCTGATTTTTATTTATTTTGTGTGTTTGTTTCAATTTTAAATGCCTCTTAAAAATTTACACATATATAAAGAAACTGTACAAAAATAGATGTGTTTCTTGTTTTATTATTTAGATTAATACAAAATCAGAATTTTAATTTAAATAACTTTTTATCTGGTCCCACAAGCTGCCACTATATAAATATACTGCATTTCTTGATTGCCAAGTAATAATTTTTTTCAGAGTTAAAAATTAACATTACCTTTAATAAATTTTTTATTTGAGAGTTTTAAATACAAGATATGAATTATAAGGATGTGCTCACAAATTTCTAAGAATGAGTTAAATAAACCAAAACATTTAAGTCAAATAAATTTCTTTATATTAAGATATAAAAATAAATTTATTTGACATTTTAAAAATAATCATTGTGAGCTTCAATATGTTTTCTGCAATGATTTTTCCAACAAATTCTATTAACTCAAATCTCCCCCAAAGTTGAGGGAGAAATCAGAGGAATAGGATGAATGTAAAAGAATAGCAGTTCCAATTTTAAAATAAAATTTATTCAAGTCAATAGAACTTATACAAGATGTACTGAAGAAAATATTACATTCCTTGAAAGAAGATTTTCTAAAAATTTGTTTCTGAATTTGGGTAATTGTTAGAGAAAGCATATTGAAGCTGACAGTGATTATTTAAAAAATATTAAANTCAAAGTACATTTATAATTTTTCTCATTTTCCAAAATTATATTTAAATGATACATATATCTTATAACTTGTTTCAATTACTTGTAATTGCATTTATTATCTTTTGTATCTTCAAGGAGAAAATTAAAATATTTTTATTACAATTTTCTAATGTTATGAATTATGTCCATGCAAAATTTTACTTCATTCAATTTATTAGATTTATTTCAGAATAAACTACATAACAAATATTCTAATTGCATTTATATTGTAATTTACTTGTTTTATAAACATAAATAATCATGTGTTTAATAATCTGAAAATTTAAATCTAATTTGTTACATTATTTCAACAGCTTACATTAGAAAATAAAAATTTAAAATGAGAAAATGATTTTTACAAGTTTTATATAAAGTATTACTTACCAACATAGTTTTTCCATTACCAGGTGGACCAAATAATAAGAGCCCTCTTGGAGGTGTACGTAACCCAGTGAAAAGCTGAAATGTTAAATATTTTTGATATATGAAATTTCTAGAAATGATAAAGATAATTCTTGCATCATAATTACTGTATATAATTCTATTGTTTTATTATGACAAGTCAATTTTAATTTTGATTCAAGAAATTCTATAAACTAATTTTATTTATAGGCAAAACTATAACAGTTTTGCAGAATAGATACAAAGGATTTGCAAGAAATGAGGAATTGCTCACATCATCTTGCTCACTTATATTTAAAATAAATACAGTAGACTCTGCTTATTGTTATAAATCATTTAATGGTCCAAACAGATAATTGCTTAGAGCTAAATTTGAACTGAAGGGGGAAATGACTCAAGCCCACAGTTGCCAATGCTGCTATTGTCAGCACTTGTATTCAAATATGCAATGTTGTATAGTAAGAAAATGGTCTTTGATAATTTTCTTAATATATTCTTGCAAACCACACTCAAAGCTTGTCTTTCATAAGCCCAGATTAATTATTGTGCTTTGATTGCTGTTCTGTGTCAAAAAATCTATAATAATACAGCATTCCATAAGATGTTCACTATTATTTTTCCTGCGGATAGCAATGTATTGAATTTCCTGTGTGTCTTTGTATCTCTTGCTTTCAGGATGAAATAAGCAACCCATGTCTTATCACTAGGACATCTAGACACATAATTTTTAAACTTTATAACTTTATAAACTTTTTATACACAATAAGTAACTCTATTTATTGATGATAATGTTACAGAAGAGAAACTACACTAAAACGGCATTAAAAGCATATAGTTTAATAAAAATTGCAAGTACTTTCAATGACTTAATCATCATTATCATAATATTTATTGCTTGATGATGATGACTGTCATTAAAAATACTTGAAATTTTTATTAAAATATGTGATTTTAATGCCATTTTAGTGTGGTTTCACTTCTGTAGCATTTCCGGCATAAAGTATAAATTATTTTTATCAATTAGATGATATTGTTAATATCAAAAAGTAGAGTTACTTATTGTATATAGTTTTTTTTTTATGTTGAATGTCACAAAAATTCTAAATTTTTATATGATTTTTGTGTCTAGATGTCCTAGCTTTACTAGCATCACAAAGCATTATCTGTTCAAAGCACTGCAACTTTCCCACAGTCAACATGCATAGCCATCTGGACAAAATTCAGTGATTTGAGTTGAAGTCACTTTTTTTTCACTCTTCACCCACTTCAGAATCTTACTCTTCAGAAAAGTATCTGAAAGTGTTCCTGAATAATTATTTCAGCACTACCAACACTGATGTTAAAAGTAATTTCATGTACCTTCATTCTTCTACTTTCCAGAATAATTTGCTCAACATGGCTAATAATGTCTTTTGTCACAGCAGTTGGCTGAATATGTCCATGAGGCTCATTTGACACTTGCAACAAGTTTAGTGAAGGTTGAATCATTAATCACAACTTCTTAACAACATTTGTTCCTTATACTTAGCTTGTTGATGCCAATATAATGAATGCCAGAAACTATATAGATGTCATACATAGGTTCCAACAAGAAAATATTCCATTTTATATTGGTTGTGTTGTTATAACTAGTTTGAGAATGTGAACATTCAAAGACAGAATAAAATTTTAGTAACTAGAACCCAGATCTTATCTCATTAATCCTTTAATTTGAATTGTTGAATCCCATGAGAGAGAGAGAGAAAAAAATATGTGTAGCTGTATACTTATAAATGGGTGGCCCGTTTAAAGTGTTAAATAGTTTTGGAGATATTTGCTTTTAACATAACTAAAAATTCTTTTTTTTTATAAATTTTCTCCTAAATCAAAAAATTTTTGATTATATTATATATCTTTAGAGATACTAGCTTGCATACACAATGCAAAATTGATGTCAAACATTCAAATAAAACAAGAATCCTTTAATGACATTTCAGCATTTGTTATTTTTTTAATAAATAAAAAAAATGATTGGAGATCAGAAAGTATCTAGATATTAATGACTTATTTAATATATTTTGATACCTAAATCCTATAATTGGATACTGTTTACAAATGTTGCATTTTGCTTGATGCTTTGCAGTTTCTGCTGCAGCTAATCGATGTAAAACTGGTAACCAAACAAGTGACTGAGGTTCTTGCTGTAACCAAGTTAAAAAATGGGCAGCCTGGATTTCTTTTTTATTTCCAGCCTGGAAGCACATTAATAAAACAAAAGTTATTATATTTTTAAGTGAATATTATATAATTTTAAAGTATTAACTAAAATAGTAGATATTCTAGATAATAAGCAAATATTTCATTTATAAGAACATTATTCCATTTTATAAAAATTAATTTCAAAATTTTGATCAACATATAAGTTATTAAACTAAACAATAAAACAAAATTAATTGAAAACTACAATAGATTTACTTAACAAAAAGAACTTGTTTCTTTTTATTTATAATTCTGAACATAGCTTATTCCAATCAATTTATGAATCCAATATTTCATTAATTAAGTGTACTCCTTCAAACTGCTCAGGCTAAATTTATAAAGTTGATTACTTTTGAAAACCAAATGCTTTGTCAAAGTATATTAAACTATGTTCATATTCAGATATATATTATTATTTTTTTTGTCATTCGAGAAAATGATCAACTATTTTTTATAATATTTTAATCTAGAAATATACATTACCTTTTCAAAACAGCTCCTTACACTTGGTTCAATATTACTACCTCCAAATGCAGCAATTTCACCAAGAAGTCTAGGAATCTTAAAGAAACAGCAATTTTTATATTTTTTTAATTCAAGAACATAATATTGTTTTTTCTTTGATAAAATTTACTTACTTGGACACAATCATGAAGTAATAATCCCAATTTTCTTTCATCAGCACCACCATTTGCATCTGCTATTAGTCGAAACAAATCTGGAAATTTTTACAAAACTATTAATAATAATAACAGTATTGGAAAACAACATACACAAAAATATACTACGACAGAGCCATAATCACAGATAAAACAATTTACCACAACAGATCAGACATCACTCATTGACAAACACAATAAAATCACATACATTATAGACATATCCATTCCAAACACTCACAATGTACAAAACACATTCACTGAAAAAATTAGCAAGTACACAGAACTCGCCCAGGAAATAAGGCATCTGTGGAGGATGGAAAGGGTGCTTATTGTACCTGTCGTTCTCTCCTGTACAGATGTGATAACACATACACTACACAAAAGTCTGGGAACATTACAATTGAATAGAAATAAATACATCACACTACAGAAGACCACTATATTGAATACAGCCATATTGTTAAGTTCCTGAATACAGACACTGGCACACTTTTTTAGTTTTTGGTTGTTATGCCTTGACTCTGGTCTGGCATAGTACACAGCCACTGGTATCAACCGAGTATAACTCAATAAATACTGTATAATAATAATAATAATCTGTTACATTTATTTTTAATATAACTAACTCTTTAATAGTAAAACTTTTCATTATAATTATTATGAAATTGGGCATAAAATACTAGATAAATACTAAAAGAGAAGCTATATAGCATAATTTGATGTATTTAATATGATAAAACTTTTATCTGTTTAAATATTGGGTGTCCATTAAAATTTGTCACAACTATGTTTCTTTGAGTTTCCATGTAAAGGAAATATTAATTTAAATGAATAACATACCGTTTGAAAGAACGAAAACAACTGTTTAATATGAACTATTCAGAGATATACCTAGATACCAAAATTATATTTCCCAAGCAACTAATTAGAAATCTCAAATAGAACCTAATCTGCCGCAATTATATTTTCAATCTGAATACTTGACTACCTTTCAACAAGTTTAAACTACCTATTTAGCCTGTTTTAATTTAAATAATTTTATGATATTTTAAGCTAGTTTGGCTGAACTAATTTAGCTTTAAATCTGACTATTATGCATTGGGTTATAACATTAATTAATCCAGAAATACATTGTAAATTTGGGATTCAAATAATACATATAGTTTTCTGATGTGCACAGCCACAATTCTTCTGGCCAACATGGGCTAAGCAGATAAGAATGTCATCCAATATACTCTTAATGTAAATGCATTTCAGACTTTAGCCCTCTTCAGCACATGCTACAATGATACAATAAACTTAGTAAACAATTGAATAAATGAAAACAAACATCCAAACTTCACATGCCTTATATTACAATTAATAGGGATAAATCAGGGTTTGTTTTCACAAAATATGAAAAACTTTGCAATACTAAAAAAAATCATAAATTATATATCAGATTGTCCAATAGGCATTTAAAAAAACTGCTTTATGGTAGAAATACAAAAAATATGGAGCAGAGTGACTGAATTACAGGATAGGTTACAAGAGTCTGATAGATTAAAAAAGAAATATTTATTAAATAATTATCCAAAAAGATTGATAGAAATTCTTTAACAGCAGGTTTAAAACAAGTAATAATAAAGAGGGATAAGACTTACATATCATTCTGATTTTAAAAGTTTTTGATTTTTTAAAGAATAATTTACCAAATAACATCATTCTAGTCCCCTAGCCTTAATAATAAAAAATATGTAGTAATATTAATGAAAGAAAAAGGAAGAATATAAAAAAATAAAAGCAAAGTTGCAGGGGTAGTCTACAGTATCCCTTGTTTGTGTAAAAACAAAATGGTATATATGGGATAAATGGGAAGGCTTTTCAACATAGGCTAAAACAGTACAAAGCATCTATAAAACTTAAGCATGTAAATTCACCTTATATTTACAATACTGAAGAAAACTGTTATGATATCAATAAACAGAACATTGTCCATTACTTTATGTAATATTTTAATTATAAAAATAAATTTATAGAACATTTTGAAATTATAAAATATAAAAATAATAGAAATTTAGATAACAGTATGTTAGTTAACACAAATTGGGGTGATTTAGTACTTTAAATTGGGCTGATTACTTTTTGCCATGTTGATTTCACTGTGACTTGAAAATGTGTTTTAAATATAAACACAATAAAGTTATAAGTTTACAACAAGGCCACTAACAACTATTCTAGCTGTCACTCAACAGATGATATCTGTTGAGTGACAGCTAGAATAGTTTGTTAGTGGCTTGCAACTTTCATGCAGATAGTATTTGATGAATGCAAAATTTAAAAAATGTCACTTAGGCACTTTATTGCCACAACCTCTTCAAATGATAAAATATATTACTATCCAAGATATGCACTTTTTTTATAATACAGGATGTTCTGCTCAAAAGTAACCAATTTTAATTTGCCATAAAAAAATGAATGGTTTAAAGTACATAAAAGCAGCAAGTGACATCAAGTGGGAAAACTTATCAAATTTTATATAGATTTTTTATACTGCAAGATGGTGCAGAAGTTGAATCATGAACATTACTGTCCAGTCATGGCTTTGCCACAAGAGAAAGTGCAGGCTATAGCTTACATAGTAGGAAATTGCCTACTGCAGCACATATAGAGACCTGGTGATTTTTTCTATGAAATTTGGTGAGTTTTTCTCTCATATAAAATGCTTAATATATGCACTTTCTTTGAATAGCTGCATCATAATCCCTCTTAGTGACCACAGAGCAGAAAGAGATATAAAAAAAAAAGCTGCATCATAATAATTGCTTCTTGTACCCTGATATGTTAAATAAGAAACAATTATCTGTTCAAAAAATATATCCAATATTACAATTGAAAATACAGGTATACCTCTCCTTATGTCGGTAATTGGTTCCAGGAGAGGCAACTTAAGTCGAAAAACGACATAAGTCAAATTTACTCGTCACTAAAAACACCAATATTGAGCACTTAAAGACCGCTAAATAAGACGACAACATAGAAACACAGATGTTTTCATGTTTCGTTTTCTAGGATTTATGATAATTATATTAACATTTACTGTAAATGTACATATTTTAATATGATTTTATGTGCTTTAACGGTTTTCTAGTGATATTACGACTTCAATATTTGTGGTGGATGGACGTAAAGTCGAATAAAATGACTTAAACTTGATTTTTATTTTTCCATACATTTTTTGACAAATGACGTAACTCGAAACAACACAACTCGAGGTATACCTGTACTGAGTTCTTAGTAAAATATAAGAACTCAAAATACATATAAAAAGCCAATAACTAATGCAATTTATTAAATATCTAAGATGGACCAAGAACTGTAGAGTAATTTAGATCTAGTCAGTCAATAAATATTCTTAATAAAATCTCATTTGAAGTCCCCATATTATATATGTTCTATCTTTTTCAGCAATTTAAAATTTTAAATATTAAGTAAGTCACATATATCTAATGTTAACAATTTATATAATCATACATAAAAATACTCATGTATTCTAATTTATATATATAACTTACATCTAAATTTATCTTCCAATGTGCCTTTGGATAAAAGAACAAGACCAACTTTATAGGATAATATTCTTATATAGCCTGTCCGAGTAACTCTAAAAAATAATTTTTAAAAATAATAATTTAAAATTACACGATGAAAAAGTTTTAAAATTATTTTCAATACAATATAATATATGATAAGTTGTTAGATATTAAATTTTTAAAATAAGATTTTATTATAAAATAAATTTGAAATTAAATATAATTAAGTAAAATCATTTATTATGAAACAAAAATGATAATGTTTGATTATCTTCAAATAGAAAACATTGAAAAATTCTAATAAAAAAAAAAACTAAAAATGTATTAGTTTTATCCTGCTTAATAATTTTTATTAGCTATTAATATATACTTAATACTTGATTTACAAGGTAGATTGTTAAAATCATGTAAATTGAGACTGATTTCATATGAAATCATTTATATGAGAAATGAAAAAAAAAAGGAAACTTGAAACCTATTCTATTAGACAAAACAAAATGAATGAAAATGAAATTTCAAATGTCATCCTCACTTGTAGCTAATGGATATACTTTTCTGTTTTTATTTAAAAATCTCACTTTTATTACTAACATCTTCAATCCTAGTCTTTCCCCGTCTTCCAATTACAGTAATCAACTGAAGACATAATGAATGTTTGTTTTTTTATTCCTATCAATATCTTTTTTTACAATAAATTTCCTGATATTGAGTTAGGTTTAATATATAAAATATGAAGTTGTTATGTAGTAGAAAATGGTAAATCCTATTCTCTTTGAATTTATAAATTGAGAAAAGAGCTGTGACATGATTGAATCATCAAGATTTCTTGACATGTCACATATGTGCAACATGTCAAGAAAAATAGTATAAATTCATACACATTTTACTGAATAAAAAGAATAAATCAGTGTGACTTATTTTTCATTGACTAAGATTTTGATCTTTGTATCTTAAATTTCATGAAATTTCACCAATGTTTTTGTCAAAATGGATTAAAGCAGAATTTCCTTTGGCATTACAAGAAATTAAAAGTTATGATAATACAGTAAAACCTCTCTTATGTGGCCACCCATGACATTCTCCTGTAAAACTGCATTAGTTTTAATATAAATCAAAAAACAAATGCATTGTAACACATACAACTATTAACCTTAATTTTAAATCCAGAAGCTTTAATTCAACTTTGACAAACATTTTCAATCTAATAATAAATCTGCTTCAGGTCTATAAAGCCTTATAATATTCCAGAATTAGAATATTTTTATGTAATTATGGGATAAATAACTCTAGATGAAGCACAGAACAACTTTTGAAATTCAAATGCATTACTAAATTTAAATATTGTAATGTTCATATGAACTGTACATTCCTGAATTAGAATATTAAGCTTTATAGACCTGAAGCAGACCTATTATTAGATCAAAAACATTTATTAAAGTTTAATTAAAGTTTGTTGGTTTTAAAATTAACGATAATAGTGATGTGTGTTGCAGAATGATTCATTCAGAATTTGTGAGTAATTGTAACAAACTTATGTTTCTCCCAGCGAAATTATGAAAAAATTAACACACATAAATGCTTTTAGTTTACTGCTAAAACTGCTTCAGTCTTGACCAGTTTATAGAAAAGTGAAACTCCACCATGATGACCACCTCACGTACATGGCTGGATAAGTGTCCTAAAATGCTTATCCCCCATTTATGTAGAACAGGAAAACCCCATGTTCCTAAACTGAATGTATTGTTTAAAACATTTTAAATGGAACTGAGACTTATTGCTGTAGTTTCGGAACAGTTTGCTGAGATTCCTCAAATTGGTAACATTTAAATAAAATAAATCTTCATTTACACTTGACAAATTAAATTTATTTCCAAAATTTAGTAAGAAGAAAGACAATTATATATTTGTTTAATAATTTCATACAAAATCTGATTGTATTTGTAAAATATAATTATGTAAATCACCAATGATTGCTCTGTCATTGATACATAATTTACAACACTCAACAAAGAAAAATATTGATGAGCCTGATGTAAAAGCTGGTTCAACCCTTTGCAGTCCTATACCAAGCACTGCTCAACAATGTAAAATGCCATTTCCAGTTAATGTTGAGCAGTGCTCAACATCAGATTTCTTTCAGCAGATCCTATGTCGAGCAGTATTTGCTAACTACCAGTACTGCCATTTGTTGAGCTAGTAAGAAACTACTTTTATTTTTTGTAAATTTTGATTAGATGATGGTTATATATCATATTCTATGAGCTTGTTTTATAATGTAGTTCATACAAGGCTGTGGAGTTGTAGTCAGGAAAAATGTGTCAACTCCAACTCTGGCATTTTAANCAGAAATCTGATATGGCACCAAGAAGAAGAAGATATTTTTATAATAGAAAAAAATATAATTATTTTACTGTTAATTTCACTGTCACCTTATATTACTGTTACTTTATTAATCTAGCTTATTTTAAGTGCATTCAAGCTTATAGCCTTCGATTCAATATTCAAAATATGTTTTCAAATTCCATACTGTCCATTACTCTATATTTTATATTACCCAAAATTCATAAAATACTAACACTGAATCAAGATGCGTGATTTAAAAAAATATGTATCAATATTTTTCATACACAGGAATTTAACATAAGTATTTTTTTGACATTAATTTCAAGTTTTAATCAATGTTTATTAAATTGTGCAAATCAATGTTTAATTATTATTACCCAAAATTCATAAAATACTAACACTGAATCAAGATGCATGATTTAATTAAATATGTATCAATATTTTTCTTTGTAGTATTTGTGTTTAGTAGTTAAATTATTTTGACCCAATTGAATTTGAATATTATTGATTCATTCCTTTCTTATCCCCACTCTATATAAGTACTCTATTTTTCTGAATGAGCCAGACTAATTGATCAAAGTCTATACTTTTCTTTTCTGAAAAAGGGTCTGAAGTAGCAAGATCATACACTTTTTAGTTGAACTAACTTTTCTGGAAAGGTGAAATTGAAGTGCAAAAGCTGTAGAATAAAGATATGTAGATGTAGAATTTTATCGCTCTTCCTTTTTGCTTTTATTAAATATTTGTTAAAAATTAATTTTTTATACAAAAATATCAATGTAAGTTAAATATTAAAAATACTATCTATAAAAGTATTTGGGTAAATGTCTGGACTCCTTTCAGATTTCAGGTTAGGGTAACCCCCTACGAGCGAGCACCTCTGCCCCCCATAAAATGACCTGGTATTAAATTTTACTGGAGTCAGAGTTGGAGTCGAGTGTTTTTTTTACTGACTCTGCAGTCCTGACTTCATATCAGTTGCTTGAATGGCACTGTGGAAAGGTACCATTTTGAATGTCTGAGACATAAGCAATTTTCTTGAAGATTTTCAGGATTCCAGGATATTATAATATCCATAATATTATTTATAGATTAAAATTATATATAACAGTTATATTATCACATTTTTTATAATATATATGTTAAAACATGTAAATGTATACTTAATGTCATAACCATTACTTGTGTTCATAGGAAAACTGTTTTCAAATAAAAACACATTTTTTGACACTTGGACATGCATATTTAGTGAGTCCATTTAATACTTTAATACTTTTTCTGTTAAAATACAGTATTTAAATAAAACTTTTACTACCATTTCATAAATATATTGATTCCATTAGGGTATTGTTTCTGTTTATGGGTACATTCATGGGTGAATGAAACTGCACTAAATTCCATTTAGGTTGATTTTCTGGGATAAGGCAATGCAACACATGGGTAATCTGCCAAGGAGGTACTTTCTGGGAGGATTTTCTATGAGAAACTTGCTCCTTTAGGTATTAGATATGTAAAGAAAATTCAGAAAACTCCACAATGCCAGCCCATTGGTGAGGGAAAACTCGCAACCAAACTAATACAGTTTTATCCACTTGGTCACTGGTGGGCATTCCATTCAGTATGTATGGTACAGTAAATGAATCCTACTAAAATAGCTTTCATTCACTGTACATGTAATCTGTACTTCAATATTTTATTATTTAGTGTTAACATTAGCCTTGTATGAAAATTTAAATTACTGTATATTGCAAAAAATGTACTGTACAGTATTATTTGAATTTATTATTATTATTTCTTTACTTTCATAACCTGTATTAAACTTTTAGCAGGATTCAATACAGTATTCTAATTACAGTTCTGTATGTCAATTTTTTTCATAATCCCACTTGGGTGACCACCTCACTTATGTGGCCATGTAGAACTAAAGTATTCATACCAATAATGAATTGTAATTTTTTTCATTATATATAACAATATTTCAATAGTAACTCATATTATTTGTAATTGCAAATATAAAAAATTATATACTTACGTATCATAAAGGTTGAGTAACCAATTTAAACATAAATCAATACATAATGGTACATTAACCAATGAAGAATTGTCAGAAGCTAAACCTTCATATATAGTAGAAATACAAGTAATCATTTCAGGAACACTAATCAATTTGTCATTCTGTGCTCTTAATCCATGTTGATCAAATGCATTAATGATGTTGTTCAGATTTGCCAAATCCACTAAAAAAATTGAAAAACATATTTAACTCTTGTATAAAAAAGTATATGAGATTTAAAAATATATATATCAGTACATATACACACACAAAGTATAAAATCTTTTAAATGAATTAATTACTTTTATAAGAAATATGGTTTCTACAGGTTTTAAATATTTTTACTTCTAAGAAAAGAATAATTCACTTAATAAAATTTATTATATATGACAATCAAAACTTCTTCCAAAACTTCAGACTATGAGGCATTAAATATAATTAAAAATATTTTAATCTTGCTAGCGCTTTTGACGTAAATATGCACGTCATCTTCAGGCAATTCAAAATCAAATAGAGAATTCGAACCATACATTTAAATTTAAACATTAACGATATTAGTCGTTTTTTGAATATAACTATTATAAATAAGATTTAAATTTTAGAATTAAAAACATTTAAAAATGTTTAAAATTGGTAGGCATGCGTTTTAAAACAAATAAACTTCGATTGGAATGGATATTAATTATTTTGTAAACGTGAAAAACTGGCACGCGTGCACCTTAACATGCATAACATAAGAGCCAATTAGGGTGGCTATTAAGAACAAGTAAATTTCACATTTTAAATTAAAATTAAAAACCCTTTGTAAACACACATAAAATTTTTGGCACGCATGCACCTTAACATAGACAGCATAGAAACCGAACAGAATAGATCCATAAGTGCTAGTTTACATTAATATTTAAATATTAAAGACTAAAACATGGGACATAATTTAAAATACATAAAACACGTAAAAAGACGCACATAAAGAGGCCGACACGTATGCGCTTTGAGTCATGTAGGAGGTGCGGGAAAAGAATGTAAAATTATTGTTGAATTTTTAACCGCCTGTATAAATTAATCCAGATGTATTATAAATTAATCCAGACTATGAGTCTGGATTAATTTATAATACATCCTCATAGTCTGAAGTTTTGGAAGAAGTTTTGATTGAGATAACTGTTGGCGTGACATCCAACCCCAGTACTTATTATATATGAGTATATAAATGTATTACATTTTTTTTGTAGATTATCATTGCAAATTCAATAAAATTGACTATCCTAATATTTTTAAAATATAGAAATGATTACTACTTTATCTATAAGGATCATCCTGAAAGTTTTATTAATTTCATCAATGTACTTCTTTTAAATGATACCTACCAAAAACTTCACTAATATTTCTACTATTATAGTATTTTTAGTCAAATTGTTTTACAAAAAAATTCTAACTAAAGCTCAATTTCTATTGCTATATATCACAATATGGACTTTTACTAAGGAGTTCAACTGTTCAAACCATAAAACTATTCAACAAATAGTTTTATTGTCTTCACTCCTAGCTAAAAGTGTTTTGTTATATATAAACCCAATAAAGTTTTTTAATATCATCTAAAAATAAAAATACAAAAAACCTGTGTAAATCAGAATTGCACAATACCAAATTATTTTTTCCATTTTGAACAGGTTTTAGTAGTTTTTCTTTTTTATCTTTAAACGTTTGATAGTAAAATATAGTAACTATATGATATTTATCTTGTGTAGTTTAGTTTTTTTTTATAGTAAAATCACTTTACATAAATAAAAAAAATTTATTATGCTTAATCCAAATTAACCCAAAGTGATTCCAACTAAAGATGAAAGTATGTGATTAAAAACCTAGTATAAGTTGTAAGAAACAATGAGAACTTTTTGCAAATACTTCTTGGATATGATCCTTTATGAGCTCACATGGCAATGAACAACCAATTTGAGTACCAAAAACTAGTACCTTGCTCTGCCATTGGAAATTATACTCATATTACAGTAATACAAGAATTCAATGCTATAATGAAATTTTGATAATTGTTAGATTGAGATCATCATCAACTTCATAAATTATATAGTATGCATAACACTGATCTCTGAAAAGACAAGACAATGGAAATGCAACATACCTTTCTGATTAAATGAAAAAGATAAATTTGTTCAGACTACAGATCAAAAAAAGCTGCAATGTCCTATTAGTATCATTAGATTAGGCAACATACATGTAAGAGTATTCTGCAGTTCAGATAAGCTGCCCATTTTTATGGCATCATGGTATCATACCAAGGATAACTTATAGATATTTGTAGTAATCTGCACTTAGTAAGTTCAAATGAGAGATACAATATTGTATTTCTAGACTTCACAGCACAAATAGTAGCTGTGAAAATGCAAGTGCATTTATAGCACAATGTCACTATAAATGATGTCTTTCCTGAATAATAAATAAATAAAACCTACTTACTCGAGCCTCTAACCCATGGGTGGCCAACAGTTTTTGCCCCCGGGCTGAATTGGAAAGAAAACTTTTTTCACAAGCCAAACCAGAGGCTGCCCTAGGAAGATTTTGAGGTGGTGCGAGATCTCATTGTGGTGTTACCCCATAGAGATTAAACTGTACATAGAGATTACAGATACATTTTTTCACATTATCATGCTATATCAACATCCTGTGCTGTACTTAAGAAATTTGTCATGGAGGGTTAACTCTAAACGCACAGTTGTTTTTTTCTTTTTTTCCTCAGAATTTTCATTGAGCTATTCGGACTTGAGTGGCTAATATTGAAAGATTAATCGTGGGCCACATAAATTCATTAGATGGGCCGAATCTGGCCCGCAGGCCATATGTTGGCCATGCCTGCTCTAACCGATGTGAAGAAATACATTAAAATAAAAAAATTTGAAGAAACAAATGTTTTCCAAACATGTTCCGTGTCCTTCCTCAGGTAAAACAACTGGATTCCCTATTCTAAACCACCGTTGCGCAATTTTAAAAAGAACAAAATTCGAACAATGATTTGATTGTGCGATGTCCACTGCGCATGCGTTGTATCTGTCGTGTCCCCATCATTCAGAATCGCATTTACTCTTCTCATACGTATATGATGCACTATTTTTACTATGACCATTACATAGTATATCATATATGTATGAGAAGAGTAAATGCGATTCTGAATGATGGGGACACGACAGATACAATGCATGCGCAGTGGACATCGCACAATCGAATCATTGTTCAATTTTTTTTCTTTTTAAAATTGTGTAATGGTGTTTTAGAATAGGGAATCCAGCTGTTTTACCTGAGGAAGGACATGGAAAGTGTTTGGAAAACGTTTTTATTCAAAGTTGTTTATTTTAGTGTATTTCTTCACACTGGTTAGAGGCTCGAGTAAGTAGGTTTTATTTATTTATTATACACATCCCGATGTGCATGATCTTTTCTGAATGTTTTGTTTCTGATTTTTTTTTCTTCTGTTCCAACAATACTGCATATTTTAATTTACATTCTCATAGTGTGTGTGTGCTTAATTGTTCAGAGACAAATAATAATAAAAAGTAACCTAATACTGAAAATAGAAAAGAAGTATTAACTGGAAATAAAAAATTAACCAACTTGCAGTCCTGATGTGTATAATTGTATACATGAATCTTACTGTTAGCCAATATAGTTAAATAGGAGAAATATGGTAGAGTTTATTCAATACAATATACAATATAACATATTTTAAAATAATTTTCTTTCAAAATAAATAATTTTTGAAAGAGTAATTCATTCAGAATTCACAAACTAAAAACTTTTAATGTATATTTAGAAACTAAATTCATTCTTTATGAATTTAATTTCTAAGTACATTTCTATGAAAAATTTTATTATGCTAATAAGAAAACCATTTTAATAAAATTACTTACAGCAAAGTCTTTTTTGAACAGTGCGAAGTTTCATGGCTGTCCTGTAGGCTGAATATCTTACATCGTTCAATTCAGCTGTAAAAATTAATCCATAATGAAATCATTATATTCTGTAAAAATACAATTTTAATATACTTTACCAATACAAATTTAATAGCATATACAGTGCATTTAAAATTTTATAATTTAATCAATCTAAATGTAATAATGAATAAATTTGTATAAAATTTCAAAATATATCTGTGTTTATTTACTTATATTAACAGTAATTTCATTTTGTTATTAGTGATGGTTTTACCACTATACATTATAGACAATTATTTAGGAGCACCTGTTTGTCATTAAAAAAATTAACAAGGAATAAACAAATAATTTTACCATCTTCCTAACAGCTGTCTAATGAGTCACTTATTATTACTTGTTTGTAATACATATGCACTGCTTGTATTTATCAAGGTGATGGGTAGATTTCAAATAAATGAAAATCAGCTTATCTTAAATTAAAACATGCAGAGAAACTGATTCTAAAACTAGCACTGCTTATAATTAAAAACAAGAGTGTAGAATTAAAGAAATCAATAGCTACATGTTATGTAGCAATTGATTTCTTTAATTCTAAAATGTCATCTAATGAAAAAGACACTACTGACTTAATAAAAATTTTTGTGTACATTCAATTTTAAAACTACAGTAGTCATAGAATTATAGATACTAAACTTATAAATTTAGCCATAGAATTTTGAGTATCTCTAAACAAAGAAAAGAAAATTTATGTTCATTACATTTTGTTTTATATTTACAACATTCTTAGAATAATAATAATAATAATAATAATAATAATACTGTTAAAATTCTTCTGTAAAAATGACACATGTACCAATGGTGTAACTTAATATAATCTTTTTCAAGATGCTTTNTTTTCTGGAGGTTATATGCATAAAAATATGATACATAAAATGAAATTTTTAAACAAATTTTTCTATTAAAACTGAAAAAAGGTCATATTGCAACAAAAATAGTAGTTGAATTTTGATAATTTAAAGTGAGATTAATAACAAGTATGTATGTGTATATATATATACATTTTGTTTTATATTTACAACATTCTTAGAATAATAATAATAATAATAATACTGTTAAAATTCTTCTGTAAAAATGACACATGTACCAATGGTGTAACTTAATATAATCTTTTTCAAGATGCTTTCAATGATAATTTGAAATGTCCATTATGTCATTATATCTTTACAGATAATGACAACTATACTAGAAAGTTTCTTTTCATATCAAATGTAAAATATCATTGACTATATACACATTAAAGATTTTAAAATTATAACAAAATAATTTTAAAATCTTCTATATTCTATTTGAAAGTAAAATGTTATTCTATAATTTAAATAAGAAACTTTTTTAGTTAAACAAAAGTATACTTTACTTGCAAATTTTAAAGTTATGCTTTAACATTGCTAAAAATTATAATAAATGTTAAAATAAATTATTATAAGGTGCTTTTGATTTCAGAAATGTTAATCAATAAATATGATATTATAGTAAAAAGTATTTTAAACTATCTGTATATTTTAAATATGGCTGATGAGGGTCTTGTGTACCGAAATGCATACCAGTAATAAAGTTGCTTTCTGATGATAGAAGAGTCATTTTGATATTACCAGTAGCAGTATGATAAGTCTCTGTTATCTCTACTATAGTATTTGAGATATTAGTACAGTAGAGCGTCGTTTATCCGAAACATCCGTTATCCGAAAGCATTCCAGTCGGCAAATTTAAATTTTCGCTAGTGCTGTGGCGCTGCAATCTTCGGCTATTTCTCGGGCTACTCAAATATTTTACGTTTTTGATACTAAATTAACATCTGAAGTATAATTTTTTATTGTTTTTATATTTTTCAATAAATTTATTTTGTTTGTACAAAATAAAAAAATAATTTTTAATGATACAATAGTCTTCGTTAGGCTTAACATCGACAAAAATTCAATGCGAAGCGACATGCAACCAAGAGAAATTTCAACATGGGATAAATTAATATATTTTTTCGTACATGATTCGTTATCCGAACCACCCCAGTCCCCAATTGATTCGGATAAATGACGCTCTACTGTAATTATAAAATTTACCTAAACAGATTAAACAAATATTTTTATTGAAACTAAGTTATTAATTATTTTGTTTATTTTATTGCTTAAATCAATAACTTGCTTCAAAAGGTTTCAAATTTTAAATAGTAAGTGAATGAATACAGGTTCAAAAAATAATTTAATCAGGTCATAATATTCTAATTTTAATATAAATTCAATAAATCAATTATATGATATTTATTATCACTATAATATAATCTTTTAAGAATAATTAAAATAGCACAGTATCCTAAGATTATATTCCATGAAATATATATTATATGTTTGTATGTAAATTTATTTTATATTATTATTGTAATAAATTATATATTTAATAAAATTAGATGTATCTTAATAATTTACCTAAAGAATCCATTAGCTCAATCATTTTAGGATGGTCCCAATGTGTTGTTTCTGTCAAATGGCTGTTAAAAAATTTAATTAATATATTTACTAGAAATTAAGTAATATAAACTATTTTATGATACTTACTTAACATAATAAGGCACTTTATTTCCAGCGACAGCTCTTTCCCAAGGATGTTCTACTGATACTAGAAATAAAATATTAAACTCTAATAAACTAAAGATATGAAATGTATTTTTAATTAATATGAAGAGCATATATTAATTTTAAGTTTTCATTTAATTATTACTTATAATTATAAATTTTAATATTTTATAATTATATGCAAAAAACAGCATATAAAGTGATATGAATAAAATATTAGTATTAGTAAAATATTAAATGTTACTGAACTGTTTATGAATTAAAGTGGTCTATTACAACTGTTAGAAAATTCACTCTAAATTATACTTTACATGGTAGTGATTAATTTGCCAGTACAGAGATTGTAGGTACTGCAGAAAATTAACTAAAGGTTAAAAATAAAATTTTGTGTCCAATTTAATAATCTTAAAGTTTAAGAAACTAATTTCATTAAATGAATGTTTATCAATTAGAACATCATCTCTGGGTAAAACATACAAACATTAGTATTATAAATATTTTGATTGAAAAATCACTATTAATATGGTTAAAATTTTAACAAATTATTACCATTTAAGTCATACTAAATCAAACTATAAAAAAACATTAAATAAAAATAATAGAATCTATAAAACTCATAATTGTTAGGAATTGGGTTCTAAGACAAGTTTTGTACTAAATACTAACATTAATCACTACTAAAATATAAGTTGTAGATATTATGTGTCTTTAATTGTGATTAAATTTTCTTTCTGCATTCATTAATCATCACATGAAAATTGCATTGTGCAATAAATGTTTGAATAAATCTAGATCATTGTGATAAAAAAAACTGGATCTAATTATTTCTTGCATACACGACTGAACAGAGGCAAAAATCCTTTCTTAATATTGTTCAAGAAAGACAAAAACTGACTATGCAGAGACAGTTAGAAAAGTAATAATGGGACAACATAAAAAATATATACAATATTTTTTCTGTAAATAACCAATGGGTTATCTATGTTTAAAAGACTATTTGTAAGGATGTGGATTATATATTAATTTTAATTATAATTACAAGCATTATAGGATTCACAGTGGAGGCTGGTTAAGTAAAGGTTTTGTTTTTGTTCTAATAATTTTCTGGAGGTTATATGCATAAAAATATGATACATAAAATGAAATTTTTAAACAAATTTTTCTATTAAAACTGAAAAAAGGTCATATTGCAACAAAAATAGTAGTTGAATTTTGATAATTTAAAGTGAGATTAATAACAAGTATGTATGTGTATATATATATACATTGCAGTGTAAATGATATATATATATATATATATATACTACATATCATTTACACTGCACTTAAATTATGTAAAAATAGATATTTGCAAGTCAAATCACTTTACTGATTAATACTAAAAATACATATTGGATGTCAAGCATGTATTAAAAAATAATATTAGATTAACTAGACATGCAAATAAAAACAGACAATAACTTTCCTGTACATCAGCTGAATGATAGTTGTACAAAGACAATAACTTACAAGACACTTTTTTAACACACATTTGATGTCAAAATATATTTGATATAATAGCTATTTATTCAAATTTTGGCTTAATGCATCAAGATGAATGAGATCTCCTTTATTATTTTTGAAATTGAAAAACTAGCAAATTTCTATGATAAGAATTTGATCATCATAATTAAATTATCAAAATAATAAATTCTAAAAAATTTTTTTCTTTAAAAAAATCTTTTAAGAAATAACAAGTGAAATTCACTTTTTTAAAACCGATTTCGATAGAATTAAAAACAGAGATGGACTAGAAACCTATTTAGTATTTCTCAGTTTATTTTTCTTTTTCCTTTTTCATCCATATATATTTCACTTATCAGCCTCATCAATGGACGTTACAATCTTACATTGCCAATACTTTTATACTGTATCAAGCTATCCCAGCATGCATCAACACATGCGCCGGTATTTAAATTAATACAATTTACATATCCTTTGATACAATAATGTTCTATAACACATCTTTTTACAAGATTTTTTACTTTGTACAATATTTTAATATTATTCCGGTCAATAATACAGTTTGTTATACTGCAGCATTGTTGCCACGGGGATTCGGTTCTGTTTAGTCAGATTGCTGTCTCATGCTCTTTCAGTCTCACTTCAAGTTTTCTTCCTGTTTCTCCAATATAATATTTCTGTTCTGTACATGTACACGTCAGCCTATATACGCTCCTGCTACTTCTAAAGGATTCTTTGATTGTTTCTCATTTACTTTGTTAATTAATCGAAGAATCCTTTAGAAGTAGCAGGAGGCGTATATAGACTGACGTGTACATGTACAGAACAGAAATATTATATTGGAGAAACAGGAAGAAAACTTGAAGTGAGACTGAAAGAGCATGAGACAGCAATCCGACTAAACAGAACCGAATCCCCGTGGCAACAATGCTGCAGTATAACAAACTGTATTATTGACCGGAATAATATTAAAATATTGTACAAAGTAAAAAATCTTGTAAAAAGACGTGTTATAGAACATTATTGTATCAAAGGATATGTAAATTGTATTAATTTAAATACCGGCGCATGTGTTGATGCATGCTGGGATAGCTTGATACAGTATAAAAGTATTGGCAATGTAAGATTGTAACGTCCATTGATGAGGCTGATAAGTGAAATATATATGGATGAAAAAGGAAAAAGAAAAATAAAGTGAGAAATACTAAATAGGTTTCTAGTCCATCTCTGTTTTTAATTCTATCGAAATCGGTTTTAAAAAAGTGAATTTCACTTGTTATTTCTTAAAAGATTTTTTAAAGAAAAAAATTTTTTAGAATTTATTATTTTAATATTTAGAATAACCGATCCCATTGTTTTATTATTTACTAATTAAATTATCATAAATGAAAAATACTTATTTTAAGTTTATAATTATTATTATTCTTACAATAATAAGCTTTATTTCAATTTTTACCTAATTATACTTATAATAATAATTTCTTAAAGTTCAGAGAAAGTATTATTATGATTATAGCACAGACAATTCTTCTAAATTTAAAATGTTTTCTCACATTTTTTATGGGAAATATAATTCTTATTTTGTTGATATTAAACTGAATTAAATTTTACATCTAACTTTGTTATTTTTTCTTACATATAATCAAAATAAGACAAATTTGCAAACAGTTCAAATTTTTATCAACAAATAAATAATAACTAATAGTATTAATTACAGAAAAAAAATTATTCCAAATAAAAATGAAAGTAACACTTTTACACTAAGATTTCCAATCTTTCAAATTTTTTGGACATGCTACCATCTCGAAGTTTTTATTTATATTTAGATTGTCTTTGGCTTTTTCTGTAGTAAATACATTTTTGCATAAATATGAAATTAACTTGAAAAAAATATAATGCTTACAATAATTTGTTTAATTTAGATTGGTGATTTGCTTTTTGCCCTTATGTTACAATATGAATCTACAAGCACTAAGTTTTGGCTCTATAGAGGACTTATCACACACTATTGTTGTAGTCAGAGCAACATAAGTGTGATTACAACTATAGGAAAATTTATAAACCACATCGTTTTTTCAGAAATGTTGTTAATAGTTTCATTGTCGTTATAGTTTTATTAGCAACATTATAACCTCTGGTTGCTATTTGTACTGTATACATAATATATCATATGTGAAAAAAACCCTGAACATGAAGTCATCCACACATCTGCAACAAAATAGTATGTTCCTTTTTAGTATGTATTAAAAATGTAATTTTGTACTATTTTAATCCAAAACCTAAATGTTTGCAATGAAAAACCACTTGTATTTATATAGATGCCTATCTACATAAATACAAGTGGTTTTTTCCAATTGTATTTATATAGATGCAATTGTAACAAATATGGCTGAAAAGGGATAGACAACCTGTTTGAAATGCATACTGTCATCATCATAAACCTGTGTCTACTAACTTGTATGATTACTCTAACCAGGACCAATCAGAGGGGGACAGCTGCCCCAGACCTCCCAATATTAGGAGCCTCAACTTGGTAACTCAATATGTTAGAAATGAAAATAGCAATTGTACATTTTTTGGTTGTGGAAACAATACTTTAAATCTTGTCGGAGTGGATTCAGCAGAATCTTGCAAAGAAGCAATAACGTTTTTTGGTACTGTCCAGAAAATTTTTAATTTCTTTAGTGGAAGTCCAAAAAGATGGGAGGATTTAAAAAGCATTTAGCAAGCTATTCCTTACATATTTCAAAAACAAGATGGTCAGCAAGGCTAGAAGCTGTGAAACCAGTGGCTCTAAATTTGAAATTTTTGCAAATTTAGAGCCACTAAATTTGAAATCTGCTTTGAATGAAATCAATTTAGGAAGACTTCCCGTTGATGCATATACACAGATTCTTGCTTTTAAAAAATACTTGTCAAAATTTGAATGTGTTCTTACGTCTACAGTTTGATGTAATAACACTAGTATTTCCATCCAAACGAATCTCATTATCAAATCTCATAAAGCAACATTGGATGTAGACAAAAACAATATTGAGAACCTAATTAAAGATATAGAACAACTTAAGAAAACATGGAAATCTGTTCTTGATGAATGTAAAAAAGTTGAAACTGAAAATGAATCACTTCAGAAGTTGAAATAAATCATCAATTAAATGAAAATATTCTTCAACAGATTTTTGGTCTTTTAAACATTTTTAACAAAATAATCAATTCAATAATAGATGGACTTAAAAAAATTGCTTGAAATTGACGTGTAAGTTTTATGGAAATTTAATGAAATGGATCAAAAGAATATAGTTTCAAAGGCAAAATTATTGCTAGAGAAATGAACATGCTTCAGCAGTATTAGTTTTTCTATAATTTCGTTACTTATTTCATTTTTAAAGTAATGAAATTATAGAAAAACTAATACTGCTGAAGCAGTATTAGTTTTTCTATAATTTCATTACGTGTTTATAAATCCAATTTTAAACTAAGCACGAAACCAGCAGAATTACTTAAGGAAATTGTTGACACGGAGTTCATAAACATATTTCCCAATATAACAATTGCACTTCAAATTTTTTTAACCTTGCCTTTGAGTGTAGCAGAAGGTGAGAGATCATTTAGTGTTCTGAAAATACTGCTGAAGCAGTATTAGTTTTTCTATAATTTCATTACGTGTTTATAAATCCAATTTTAAACTAAGCACGAAACCAGCAGAATTACTTAAGGAAATTGTTGACACGGAGTTCATAAACATATTTCCCAATATAACAATTGCACTTCAAATTTTTTTAACCTTGCCTTTGAGTGTAGCAGAAGGTGAGAGATCATTTAGTGTTCTGAAAAGAATTAAAAACTATCTACAATTGACAATGTGTCAGAAATGATTAAATGGACTAGCAACACTTAACATTAATTACCAGATAGCATATATTTTACTAGTCTGAAATAATCAGCGAATTTACTAACATTAAAGCATGCAAAGCTTCTGTAAAATAATAGAATGTAATAATTCAAAAAATATTAAATATCATTGACTTTATTTTCTTGTTCACAATTTTATTTTAAATTTTGAAGGCCTCTAAAATATTAGTTGTTCCAGGCCTCACATTTTCTCTGAAAGGCTCTGACTATGACTATGACAATGGGTGTGTGATAAGTTCTTCATAGAGCCAAAACATAGTGCTCATAGATTCATATTGTTTAATTTACTTTTTCTGATTTTCTGATAGAAAGTTTTGAAATTTTTTAAAGAAATACTTTTTTTAAATGTAATTTTTGAAATTAAATAACAAACAGTTTACAGCAATTTATAAAAACTTGATGGTAAAATGATACTGATAAATAATAACTAGTCTTATATATCATTAAAAAAATTTGTTATATGACTGATCATCATCACAATATAGTACCTATAATAAAAAAAACATTTACACAATTTGAAAATCATTTACTTTTTGTTTTCAAAGTAATAAGAACAGTATTCTAAAAGTAAAAATTTATCTAAAAACATTTATTGAATAATACCTTGAAGTTTTTAAAACTTCTGTGATCTTTCATGCAAATATAAAATTTTATGACAATTTTTACTATTCTAATGTTTCAGACAAGAATGTCATCTTATTTATTATATTTATAAATTTTTGTTTTTCTAGAAGATTTTTGCATTATTTTATTGCACTTCACTTTCAATCTGAAAGTCCAATTGGATCTTTTCTAAAGAATATTCTTTTATGATGAAATGATCAAGAAATTTGTACAATTAAAAATCATAATAAAATTGATATTTCAGGAAAGAATTTAACAGATTTAAGTAAACATTATAATAATCACAGCTGTTGTTAGTATTTTGCAAAAATCAGATCAATTGAAAAAATAATAAAAATATTTTTAATTGTTATTGTAAAATTCTCACCACTGAGAAACTGCTGCTGTGCAGTGCCCTGATCTAATAAGGAATGTTCTAACTGTTTAAATCTATCATCAATTGCAAGTTGTAGCATTCTCCATCTGGTATTTAATTCTTCTAATCTGTTTAGATTAGCATGTGATAGTAAAACATTACAACCAGTTATTCTAGCTGCTGATTCATTAACTTCATCTACATATTTCTGAAGTGGAGTACAATGTTCTTTGAAAGCCTAAAACAAAAATAAAAAAGTTAAAAGTAAAATAACTGTTTTTTACATTGTAGAAGAAATGAATTGTTGAGTTAATTCAATTCAAAAATATACCCATTATCAATGAAGATATTAAAGAACTCATTTTCATTTCTTTCTACTTATTTAAAGATAAAATGTTTTTACAAATAAAAAAAAGTTTTATAAATTAGAAATTATTATTCATATTTTCTAATAATGGCAGTTACTTTTATTTTACATTTGAATTAGTCTGAAGTTGAGCTTCTGTATGTAAAACCTTCATTTATATATTTAGAAAAAATTAGATAAAGTTATATGTTAAAACTTTACAGTAAAATTGAAATGATATATAAACAAACAAACTTATAATTATTAATTTATTTTTTGACAATTAAAAACTTAATTATATAGTTACATGTTTAATTGTTCTACTCTTCTACAAACTGGGCAAATAAATAAAATAACAAACAAACTAACTCAATTTTTTCACCATCCTGCTGGGAGAAACAAACACAAAACAATGCTTTAGGTTGTTGAAATTGCTTCACTATTCAAAGATGGAATGCACTGGAGAAAATACTTATTTAATTTAAAATTTGAATTCGAATTTATATTATTAAATTCAATGGAGTGTCTCCACTTGTAGATGATGTAATTAGTCTTCTATGACAATGTGTCATATAGAGCCTGCCAAGTATGGGAAATTTGTTTTTCTTCTTTAAAATTGATACAGTGGAACCCCAGTTAATGAATGTCCTGGTTAATGACCAAATCAGTTAACGAACTTTTATTTTGCAAAAATTTTGTCTCGGATAATGAACTTAACGGCTTTTTGTGTCAAATTTGTAAGCTTGCCGACTTTTAGGGGGAATCAGTTAATCATGTGTCGGTGATGGTCTAGGGTCCATTCGTACGTTTATGGTGGTGGAGGAGACAAAGATGACAAATATTTTACAGTGAAAATCGTTTATTAGACCGGGAAGATGCTTACATATTTGAGGTAGTTGGAAATGGCTTATCTACAGTATTTTCTCCCGGCACTGAGGAGTGGCGTATCACTGGTCCTACGATAGTGCAAGCTGATCAGTCGTAGCCCCAGAGCGGACGAGATGGGTTCGCTTGGTCACAGAAACTATGGTAGGTGACAGAGCTGCAACGACTGGAGCGGTCTGCGAGACACAACATAAATTTTAGCGGGCTCGACTTCAGGCTTAATCCAGATGAAGATGACATATTAATTGCCATAGAATTTTTAGGAAAACTGCATTTTGACCTTGAGATTCTGGGTTTTTATAGTATTTCTTCCTTGAATCTCACCTTACCATTAGTCCTGCGTCCCATTCCTAGTTTCCCGATTGTTTTCTTCTTTGTCTCCAGGTGAAAACCGAAACCAGATCAGGTCATGAGAAAGGTTTGTTCCAAGGCGTTTATTTGACACCTGTTCGTTGACTCTGATTGGAGGTTGTTGATAAACCTATGTCTTTCGCTCATAATTTAGCCTATTATTTCTGCTATCTGTCATTTTAGAACTTTAACAATTGTATGCGATGTTTTTATACTCATCAAATCGTTCCCCCTTTCCGAAAATTTAACCTAGATTGACTGTTTATGACTGCTTTTGTCAGAGTTTCATCTTTCCCGTAGACATTCCACTTGATCCGTTACGTCATTCGTTTTTGTGTTGCGTTTGTTTTGACAACTACAGTACAGTTTTTTTCCTTACTTCTCCCTGAACTTTGGTCCGATTTAATTATAGTGTTTTCGTTTTTAACATGTGGATATTAAATTATATTGGGTTGATGCAAAAGTTTGTCCCATTTTTTTGAAAATAATCAAATAAAACCCATTTTACAAATAAAATTACAAAAATACTGAAAGCTAGAATGGGTTAATTGTATTTGCATTAATTTCTATGGGAAAAATTGCTTCGGTTAACGAATGGACTTGTGGAACGGATTACGTTCGTTAACCGGGGTTCCACTGTACTCATTCCTGCTTTTCTGCTTTAAAGACTTCTAGCATCTCCAAAATCTTGAGATGTTCCATTTTGTTCATTTTTATAATTAATCTCACTTGTAAATCAGCTTAAATATTGTTTTCACCAGCATATATTGAAAATGTGACAGGTTACCTTTTATTTTTTATATTCAGTTTTTGTTTTGTTAAGCAATTTTTAAGTGATCTCCTGGTTGTTCCTGTGTGTATTAGGTCATTTCGGAATCTTTTGTCCCTAACTGGTATATTATAAATCCTAGGGGCTCTTTTCTATTGTAGAGAAGCTTAAAAGTGTACTTGTTCCTTTTATATGTTATTTTGGCTGTTGTATAAGACTACTTCCTTAAATATATTTTTCACGCACCTTTCATAAGTGATAATTTCAATTGATAAATACAATCTAGGTTTGATGTATTATGCATGTGAGTAGTACTATTTGGACATTCTGGTTCCATTGTTTTTGTCTTGTGCATGTGGGCTAATTTGTAATTAAACTCTAAGGTTATAGCTATGTCCTCTGTGTGTTCTAGTTCTACTTTCATTTTTATTTTATTACAAATGAATATAAGCCCTTCTTATGAGGGCTTAAAGGCAGTGAATTTTATATCCAAATGGGTTATTAGTGTGAGATAGCCAAGGACGTAGATCTTAGTCTACGCCGCTTACGGGCACGCGATCTTGAGATCGGTTCTCTTACTTTTATAGGAGGGCGGTAAATACGCGAAACCGATCTAGACTGCTAAGTCCAGATCTATGTCAGGATTCCTGGACACCAGTTTATCAGTTGTTTTACACGCAGATAAACACGCGTGGGGCAATCCTATTCCGATAATAATTGAGAGACATTTCTTTATAAAATAAACAGGAATAAATTTAATAAACCATAAACAATTAAAACTAATACAAATATTATATAAATGAGAGATAAAAAATGAGAATTTCAATCTATAAGTCAAGAGAGATACGGACTTATACTATAACCGATATGAGGTCGAGAGAGAGAGCTCACAAAATCATTTAAGAACATACAACCTGATCGTTGTCTTTAAACTTCGGCTCTGCATATGAAGTATTTGTTCACTTCTAGAATTCTCTGTCTTCTTTCCTCTGGAGAGATCAACTTAACTTGATACATTTATATCTTTAGACTTAATCCTTCGTATATTGTATGGCTCATAGCGTTGGCCTTTAGGAGCAATATGAATGGAGTCCTGACTCTTCTATGTCTGTCGATGAACTCCCCGAATTCTGATAAATTTCCTCTATATCTGACGATCGGCGACCAATCATCATGCAAGATTCTTCCGTGGGAATGAACGGAAAGGGGAATATGTGAGGGGTAACCATTTCCCATCAAAGCGAGATTTTTCGCAGATAATGGAAAAACAGAGGATGTTCTAACTTCCCTAGAAGGAAGTAGCATCTGTTATCTATTTTTCCCACTCTAAAACGTTATTTTTCTCACCCAAACGAAATAATATTTTATGATAATATTTAACATCATAAAATAATTATTAATTGTAGACTCAGGACTATTCAGATCTCACATTAGAATCAGCTGATATATATAATAGAACAAAATTTGGCTTATAGTATACATTTGTATCAAAGTGATTACCATTAAAATAAATTGAAATAAATAAAAAGTGGCCACTGGTGTTGTTTGTTTGGTCTAAATGTAGAAACAAGCCATGCAGATTGTTGTTCATGGACTGCAGAAGTTCATCTATGTTAGATTTAGTATCAAATCCATCTAATAAACAAAGCAATAATTACAAATACTTAGCACTAACCTTGTATAGCTTTGTGTTACATTTTAAATAGTAACTGCAAAGCTATACAAGGTTAGTGCAATGTATTAGATTTAGTATTCCAAATATCTTTCCTCTAGCACATCTGCATATATAAATTTAGGTAAGACTTTGGCCTCCAAGAGTTGAATCACCATTTCATATAGGTTCCCTTTATCTGGGGATCTATGAAGTGTATTACAGGATCTGTACAGACGTGGAAAGTTAGGGAATCCGCAAATACTGTGGAATCCACCTGTTGTTCTTGCACCTTTTTGATCTTAACACATTTTTAAATTTGATTATGTATATGGAGGTCTATGAAAACTGGAGCAAACAAATGGCAAGATTTGTCATGCTTATATCTAGTAAACTATAAATCATAATCTAACAATTTAAATTTTACTGGATAGGAGGTTTATGTTTGTATTTAAAATATGGGTAGTAGGGGGAGGAGTAGCAGTTGCATGTGAACACTGAAAATGTGTGTAGCTGTGTGGTGTTTGGGCAGTGAAACTGAATTGCAAAGAGATAGGTTATTGAAATTGGTGTTGATTTACATAGAATGACAGATCTACAACATTATTTAGCAATAATAACCAATAAAATAGAATTAGTAAAGTTATAAGCCAATACAGTCGACCCCCCTATAACGTACGTTCCTATAACGACAATTCCTATAACGTAGCGAAAAAATTGTAGAAACTTTCGTATAACGTACCTCCTATAACGTCGTTTCGCGAGAAGATTGATAGAGTCTGGACCAATAGTGGATGAGCAGCCGAACTACTTACCTCCGACCCTGCGCCACGCTACAGAGCGGCTAAATTGAGTTTGCTATTGTCTGTTTAGTATTATATATAAATTATATATAAATTAGGTACTGTACATATAATTATATATTAATTATATATAAATTAGGTACTGTATATATAATTATATATTAACTTAATTTATTGTAACTTTATTATAATTATATATATGCTTTCTGCCGCCTGGCAACACGCTACGGAGATTTTAGGCTAGTAAGTTGAGTTTATTATCGTCTGTACAGTATGTAAATTAGGTACCGTAAGTCTAATACAGCACTAATTTTATACATTTCTTGTGAAAGAAACACTTCTTATTCAACGTCCATAAAAATTATTTATATTAATGATGTCTCCAAAGGTCAAGTTATTTTTCTGCCAAAAATTCGTTATCAGAAATTGCGGCCGTCGTTTCGTGTGCTGTTCCGCGATGAAAACCAGCTTTAAGCAACGGCATAGTCGAACGGTACACACTCGGTAGGTAATCCTATAATTTTTTGTTTATAGCATAGTTTATACAGATTATTCCCAAAAAATTATACGTATTTTGGAAATGTTGAGTGGAATTAGTCTAGAATCGGTTAATTTTATAGAAGAAAACAGTCTTAGTCCGTAAAGTTCCCACCTATCGGGCTGCGATTGGCTCATGTATTTAATTGTTCCTACAACGTAATTTTCGGTTAGCATGGAACGTATCTAAGCGTTATAGGGGGGTCTACTGTATATAACTGTGTTGGTTGAAGAAAATTTTCATAATGTTGAAAAAACTGCAAAGGAAATATGAACAGACATGTAAGAAACATATCATTGGAAAGAAAAATTTAAAAAGAATCATAAAAGCTCAAAATGACTAATGCCAAATGATGTAGATTGTATAGAGAACATAAGAAAACCAAGTGTGTCAACTTCAATGCAAATATTTTGAGTGCAATACAGCCTGAACTGATAGATATTGACTTGGAATGTGACAACCACTAGGACTATTCGTTTACATCTTATCCTTCCTCTAATAACACAAAGATGGATTCATGCCTTAAATGATTGCAATTGTGTCTGGTACACAACCTCCCATTTTTTTTACCTGTGCACAATGTTTGGTTAACTCAAATGCAGTCAGTTGATGCTGTGGGGAGGCAAAGAACTGTCAGTCAGCTTAACAATATTATGTATGAGACATTTTGGAATGCTTGATGGACCTCACACAATTTATTTATTTTTATTCATTGTATTCTTCACTGCTGGCCACATATAGTATGTGGAGATAATAATCCTGATAATTTGTGATAAATCTTCTAACTGCAAATTTCCATCTTCAGATGGCCCGCGGAATCTCGGAAGTCCACATTTTTTGCAAGTATACCAAAATCTTGTCATAAGAGTTAAAATCAGTTTTTCAAAAACTGATTTTAAAAGAGTTTTTCAAAAACACCATCAACAACGACCACTTTTCTACCAAAATTCCGCTGAGTGAAGATCTTAGTGAAAGTTCTTTCCCAAACTCCGTCTCGTTGAGTTGGTTTTCGTGTGTATCATGATTTGATATAGTGATCCTGGTTCGATGGAAAGCACACCTCCACACACAAGTTATACAATATTTAAAGTTTATTTACAAGTTCTATATGTAGAGTGTATAAGTTCAAAAGCATAGTATATACAGGATAACAAAGGATGGTGACTCATGTACTAGTTTGGCTTCCAGGAACTATTAAACTTCGGAGAGGCCTCAGTCGGCTTGTGGAGCTGGCTCAACTGCACGGTCCGTCCAATCTATGCACTAACCCGTCCCTGAGATGTTTACCAGAGGAGAACACTCTCTCTATGCTCAGCGGGCTTCCTAAGTGCCTGAGACTACTGTGTACCAGTCTCTTGCCCTTCTCCCTTCCTCTCTCATTCGCCCTGCAATTTAAGGGTTTTTTGGACGGGGACTTCCAACCAATCACAAATCTTTCTTGCCCGAACAGCTTTAACCTAGGTCTGCTGTTATCTGACAAGAGTCAAGCTTACAGTAACGTTTGCTGTTTGTTTACATTTAGTTGTTTACCATATGGCAAATGGTCTATCATCTGATTGCAGGTGGGTCTAATTGACAAAGTCAGCACTTCCTTTGTTTTCCCTCTGTTTATGAGTCAACACCTTACAAGTGGTATATTACCCAACCGCACGTGGGTCCAATTGACAAGGTTGTGCTTCTTTTGTTCCCTCTCTGCTAAAAGGTCAATACTTTACACGCTGCTTCCACTAAGTTTTAGGGAGGGATAAAAAGAAATGTGATTTTGAATGGGTCTTTGCTGGACCAAAAATAGCACATGATAAACAATTTTTCCCTCTCACAGAGTGCACAATTTTTTCTGTTTAAATTATTTTGAATTTACTGCCTCCTCACTTTAAGAAAATTTGATTTTGCAATGCAAGTCTTTTCTTATTTAAATAAAATTTATGATTTATAAAAAATTCATGACTTAATTTAAATTATAACATAGAAATGACTTGGCATAAAATTGATTACATAATTAGCTAAGCTTTTCATTTTTTGTAAGTGAATAAAGTGTTTTTTAATAAAAAATTTATATAATTGTGTACAAAATGGGCTAAAATAGACTTGGCTGACTGCATTTCCCCTTTCCATTATGTAATATAGATGTTAGTTAGGGAACAATGTCATAACTGGTCAGGGAATCACAGATGGAATTACCTGTATGGACCCTGGTCTTAGAAGAAGATCAAAAATGTTTGTTCTTTGTTAATTTTTTCACCATCCTACTGGGAGAAACATAAGGTTAATGTGTTCAATATTTTATTATATCTTTAAGAGCAAAAAATTTAATATCACAAACAAGAAATATTGATCTGGTTCAGATGTGTTTGCTTATATAGGAATTTATCACTATATTTATATCTTTTATGGCAGCTGTCCCCAACCTTTTTATCGCCGTGGATCAGTCAACATTTGATAACTTTACCGTGGCCCACTGAGGGGGGGATATTGATTGTCCATAATTTAGATTGATTTAATTTAATAATTTTAATTTAACTGTATTTAAACATGCCTTCAAAATAAAATACAGTTACACCAAAAAAAGATAAAATGTTAAATCACATTATATTCACACTAGAACGCTAAATCAATGAGTACCCTGAGCTTGTTTCTTTGCAACGAGACAGTTCCATCTGGGGATAATAGGAGACAATGACACCCGAAGTGTGTTTCTTATGCCCAGTTTATTCCGTTGTTCCGTCGTCTATTAAAAGTCGCACAAACCCGAGACAAATACACCATAGTAAATAAAATGGAAATAATTTAATGTTTCTTGGGCGGTCTGGTACCATTTGATCCACGGACTGGTACTGGTCTGCGGCCCGGGGGTTGGGGACCACTGTTTTATGGGATAAAAATTCAAAAAATGGTTATTTAAGTTACTAATAACATTTGTTTTAAGATGTTTGTTACTTTATATATTTATTATATTAAGCTATTAACAAAATATATGAGTATCCAAAATTAGCATGAAAATCATATTTGATGAAAGAAATTAATATACATAAGCAATCAAGTTAATTATTAATTCATTAAATTAGTAATCAAAAACAAATCTGGTGTTCAAGTTATTTTGATTGATAAATTAGTTAGTCAAACTGTTTTGGACCTGGACTCATAGAGCATGTTCTAAAAACAAGCTTTGTTGATTTTTCAACAAATGAATGTTCTAGAGAGATGTAGTGCTGCTCATCAGTTCTCTTTCATAACTTTTTGAGAATTAAATTGTGCCTTCATTGAGTAAAAGATTTAGCTGTCTGCAGTGCTAATTGTGACAGATGATCATATTCCTCATTGATAAGATATCATGTCTATATAAATGAAATATATCAAAATATGGATTTTTCTTGTTAAATTAACTATAATATTTCTTAGTTTTATAATAATGCACATATCAAATTTTGATTGAATACATTTCGTTGATTCTTCAAAAATGACTTGTTTCAGACTTATTTTATATACTAATGTACAATAACAAATTCGATATTTAGATTTATAATTAGATTTGCATTAATCATATTAATGCAATAATATATTTATAATGTATTTTATATTTATACATACAAATTAAATGTAAGTACAGTAAACTTCTCTAATTCAAACATCTGTAACTCAAATAGTTCTTTAATTCAAATCCTTATGCTATTCCATTGAAACCTACAAGTGCTTCATTTTCTTTAACATCTCTAACTTGAATTTTCTCCAAGTCAAAGGTTTTCATGGTCCCCTCACACAGATTTGTTACTTTCAACTTTTCTGACTCAAATTTTAATAATTAAGACTACTTTGAATAGAATAAATATCAGATTTCCAAGAAATTTTCAGACAGTTAGTTGTATCTACTATCCAACACCCATTTGAAACAATGGTTTAGTCCAAAGTGAGATGACTTCTCACATTATCTCTTCAAGTTTTTACCTGCCTCTTGGAGCTTTGAGTTAAAGAAGTTTTACTGTATATTTTATTTATGATGTAATATAAATATCATATGCATTTAAAATAATGAACACAATTGCATTTCAATTCCTTTTAAAATTAAGATTACCTTAAGATCTTCTACTTGGCCAGGAAGCTGATCAAGAACAAATTCAGTTACTGGAGCCCATTTTGATTTTGAATGTTCTGATGCTTGCAATCTGGCATGAAGATCATCCATTCCTCTTTGAAGCATTTGCATTTTCTAGAAAAATAAAAATTTTAAGATATTCAAAAAAATCACCTGATGCTAATAATTTCAATAATACAATATACAGTAATAACAATACAGTAGTGTATTTCTTAGAGTGGCAATAAATAAAAATATTCATAACATTCTGACACTATTTTTTCATAGAACTTCAAAAAAGTAGAACATAAATTTAATTTAAAATGCTTATAAGCTTTTTAATTAAAGCCAATGTACTGAATTATCAGACTGTAATAAGGCTAAGTAAATAATAGATACCAAGTACTTGGATTGCCATCTCCTGATAATTTTCTAAATTAAAATTAATTTATTGTAATTATTAATTTCTAGAAGAAAAGAATCAGCCCAGAGTGAAACTTGAACCCACAACTTTCATTACCATGCAGATGCACTACAAGTTATGCTTGTAGTGCATCTGCATATATATTGTTTATATGTGTATGTACACCATTTCACAGTAAAAGCAATAGCTGGCTTAGAGCAACAGAGGAGCTGTGGGCAATTAAGTCATTCCCAGCACTGTGAGTGACTCCTGTATAGTTATATCTAAATTAATAATTCTGGAAGTGAATATCAGACAGAGGCCTAGGTAGCATAACTGGTAATGCATCTCTACATAACAAAAAGGAAGATGCAAGTTCCAGCCAATTTTTTTCTTCTAGAAATTATAAATTAAAATTAATTTATTACAATCATTAAAATTATCAGGAGATGGCAGTCTAACTGCTTATCTGTAGACGAAATACTTTGTATCTATTATTTACTTAGCCTTATAGCCTGATAATTTGGCACATTGTCTGGCTTTACTACAAATTATTTTAAATTAATTAATCTCTCTTTAGTATATAAAATTCGCTACTTGAAGATAAAAAATATTCCCTTTTTCTGTTTATAAATAATGTAGAAGAATGAGGTTTTATTTAATACATCTTTCATTCCTTCAGTATTGAAGCTATACATCTAAACAAATGAATTCCTTTCATAATAATGCTTCTTTATTGCATGTAAAAGAATATTATTACTAAATGAATTAATTAAAAATACAAGATACATTATCTTTAAAATAAAAGAAATTAGATTCTGAAATCTTATTTACGACGTCTACAGTTACATACAAAACCTTACAAACTTACAGTAATAATCAAAAATGGTACTACTGGATTTTATTCAGGTTATAGTACAACTAATTAGTCCAAATTATGTAATATTTTTATAATTGCAACTTAATCACCCATCTTTAATCTTGTATTAAATTTAATAATAATAAAAACATAAATTAATTTAGAATATTCTGGAAGAAAGGAAGGTTCTGTTCTTCTAGAATAACTTTTTAGCTCTATAATGTTTTCTTATTTTGCACAAAAGTATTACTTTCCACAATTTCACTAACAAAATTGAAGCTAAAGATAATGTCATTATAATTTGGATTTATTTTTTTTCATTTTTTGAACTACAGTATAAAAATTTGTTTTATACAAATATTACTTTAAGTAGTATAAAATTTTATTATTATACTAGCTGTACCCGGCTTCTAAAATTACATGTTCATATTGAAATTAAAGATTATACAGTAGTAAATAAAGATGAAACAAATCAATATCCAGTACAAAAATGTAAGACAGCTAATGTTTTCACCCATGTTAAATGGATATCTTCAGGCTAACTGACCACTAAAGTTAGAAAAGTGTTGTTCATGGGATTAGGTTGTTGTGTATAATTATTCTTTTTTGATCGACAACCCTTTGTTCGGTAACAGTGAGGTGAGGATATTGTTGTGTGAATCTATGGTGTAGTTGTTGTCTGTATGCTGTCATGTTTGTTTCGAGTCTTGTGATGGTGTAGTAAGTACGGATGATAAGCTTGTTCATTTCTGTTGTCCATTTCATCCGTTGGCGTGGTTTTTCAGCCTTTGTGGTCTGTGGATGCATTGCCACAGAAACACCAAGGCTAGGTTGATTCCTCACATCTGTTGAGGGCATTGCAGTAGCTATGCTTGAACCAGCGCTGCTTTCGCCACCGGTAACCAAGGGAGACTGGAATTTTTCGAACGTGAGCCTCTGCCTAACCCATGAACGCGGACCTTGTTAACCCGGGCGACGTCCGAGCCGGTATCATACTTAGATCTGGTTACTAATTATTATTATTATTATTATTTTGGAGGTTGTAGGACAGGACATATTAAATTACTTAAAACCTGAAAAATAATTATATCATTTGATTTCAAGATTTATTTTATATCTTAAAAATAATTAATTATATCCCAGGATCCCTGGAAACACATCACTTTTTCTCAAAATTCTGGGACAAGCAAAGAACTGGGAAATGAGAAACCCTAGTACAGTACATATTATAGGCGTACTGTACAGTAGTTTAGTTGCATTTTTTTTTACTGTATTGTATCATGTTAAAGAGTAGATCATACTAGTGATTGCATTACAGTAGAACCTCGAAAACTCGGCCTAATGTGGACCGAAGGGTGGCCGAGTTTGCGAAAATGCCGGGTTATCGGGAATGGGGTTAAAAAAGGATAAGTATGCGTGTTTCCTCAGAAAATAGTGTACTGTACTTGTATGTATTGTTAACTTGAGAATACAACAGAGAATAAACTGCCCAAATACCCTTAAACAAAGGAAAAGTACGTACTTTATGAAGGCATAGAGCCTTTACTACATGAAAATGAAAATTAATGAATACACTGTGTACAGTAATTTACCTGATAAGACAGACCTCAGAAAAATACTTTATGAGAGCTTTTATACTTTTATAAAGCTGTCTATAATTAAAATTAATTAACTAAGGATTTTTTTGCCCAGCCAGGGTGTGGACGAGTTATCCGGAGTGCCGGGTTATCGAGGGCCGAGTTTTCGAGGTTCTACTGTACCGGTAACCGGTTTACTGGTAAATTATATCTTGGTAAATTTACTGGTAATTAATTTTTTTACCAGTATTTCGATTTTAAAAACCTCTTAATTAATTTAATTAACTCAATATTTATTTTCCTAAAATTTCCACAGAAAATATTTGTGGGAAGCAGATTTTTTTGTCTCCCCCATACCATAGCGAGAAAACAGTGCAATTGGTGATAGGTCATTCCATTTGTAGTTTAAGATTATTAAAAGGAATTTCTAGTCTTTTTGAAACTTGATTGCTTGTATTATACTCCAAAAATGGGTCTTGATTTTGGAGTATATACAGGAAAATAACCCAGAAAATTGAACAAATATAAGTTACACGAAATATCCAATAATGCTAACAAAAATATAATTTTGAATGGGATTGTAGAAACAATCAAGCACTTATCAGAAAATGAAAACAAATTATGACCTGTGGATGTCACTAAAATTAGTTCAGACTCAGATTCTGGTGAGAGGTATTCATTGCTTACTACACCATCAACTTCTCTCGCCTACACGAGAACAAAGTGCACAATAGAAAAGTCAAATTTAACAATGAAAGAGAAATTGGACTTATTCATTAAACATGAAATGAGCATAGACACTAATAACAGTAATATATGTAAATTTAAAAGTGTGAAAGATATAGTTTAAAAAGAAATGAATTATTTCTTAGAGCAAAAAATGCAAGAAACATATCTTAAAAAGATTTTCAATGCTATAATGACAGTACATCCAACTAGTATTGATTCCGAGAAAGCTTTTTCTAATGCAGTGTGGTGTACCACCATATTATTCTGTTGTATAAAACTAAATTATGTAGATATTTTCCTATCTCCTTTCTCCCCTCTTTGTCCTTTGTTCTATGGAACATTCTAGAAACTTCTAAACACATGGAGTGAATTGACCTACTTGGGAAACAAAGGGAAAAAGGAAGCCCTGAGGGCGAGAATGAGGGGGAACGGACACTGCTAGCCCTGACGTCGGAGAGGAAGGACGTGTACGAGAGATCTTCGGACTGTTTGTGTAGTAATCAAAGATATAGTCCTGGATGGTGGGCTAAAGTCGGAATAGGAAGAGGCCATGGATCTTTGATATCAGAACTCGCATGATATGAGTTTGAAGAGCTCCCTTCCCCGAGAATCGAATACTTCACCTCACCCCAACGAAACAAGAAGGATACGGGTCGACTATCCTACAGAGACCTAGAGTGTCGACCACCATTGGGTACCCACCTCATATTCTCTTTCCAATCTCTATGCCTTAAATTCTGTCCTTCTCTATTTTATTGTTAAGATAACTAGCTTTAAGTCTTAGTCGTATATATATATGTTATTTGTCACGATTGAATCTTGTCAGTTAAATCTTAATTTTGTCGCGGGATTCGGGCCAACATTTCCACCTGCGTGTGGTATTCTTTGTTCCTACAGGTTAGCCCAGTACTAAAAAGAGTGTCGGAATCGAACGATCCTGTAGAACCAAAATTGGAAAGTAGTAACCAACCGGTGAAAATAAAGGTTTTTTCATTGTTTTATTTGTTTCCCCTTTTTTCTTTAACAACTCACCATTCGGTGACCACAGCAGCTGCCATTTGTTCGAAAATTAGATCTACATAGATTAGAGGACGAGAGCCTACATGTATTATGTTTGTTAAAAGCCTACTTTCAAAATAAAGAAAAACAATTAATTATCAGCATTATTTCAATGTTTCTTATGTCATAATAATTGCTATTACAAGAATTGTTTGTCTAAACTGAGAAAAAACTTGAAAATAAATGGTTGTCCAATAATTCTGTCAGTAATTCAGTTTCATTTTAAATCATTTGTTAATACGAATTTACTGGTAAATTACCGATAAACCGGTAATCTCGAATATAATTACCGAATTACTGGTACTATAATACCTGGTAAATTTGCAATCACTAGATCATACCATAATTCTTTAATTTTGGAAAGAAAAGTTCAGGTAATTAAGGAAGTAGAAAAAGGAATAAAAAGAGTGTGATATCACCATATAGTCACTAATCAGTGCCTTTTGTTGTCAGGTGTTTCTACTGATTTTTAAGATGGTTATAAAATCAGCATGATATTCTTGCAATTCACACCTTTTAAACATTTCTCTCACCCAATATCATTTTACCATAATACCGAAAGGTTTTTACTAATGATTTTTTTTTCTCTTGCTTATAAATGATTATTTGTTCAAAATTTGCAATTACTTTTTATTTTTAGCAGTCTAGACCAGTTTCCCTTTTGTTTTTTGCTCAGTGTTAAGTTTAACAAGAAAATCTGACAACAAAGTAAGTACATTAAATCTGTATTACTTAATAATTATCAATAAAATTGGTTAATTTGAATTTTGGATAATTTGAATTATTTTGCACTCCCCTTGAACTTCAAATTAACCAAGCTCGACTGTATATGCAATAATCTGTAATTCAAATTATCAGTTTCTAAAAGATAACCATTGATATTAATTATAAACAGCAATTATGTGTAAAATATTTACCAGTTTAATATATTTTTTAAAAAGTTGTTAATTCAAAATTACATTATAAATTAACAAAATCAGTTTTTATACTTACAGTTAATACATCATCTAATCGTTTTTGCCTTTGCTCAGAATGAGAAATGAGACCATTCCATTTGTCAGAAAGTTTCTTTACTTCTCTCCGTATACTGCGAGTAATTTCTCGTGCTTGTTCCTCTGCACTTCTATATCCACGACTGTCACCTTCATATTCTTTTGCTAGTAAGCATAACATATAATTAACTAACTATAATTTTTAATCTAAAAATTTTTAATTTTATTAAAATATATGATTATAGTAATTTGTAAGACAAACTTTTTAGTTTGTCTTACAAATTATATTTCAGAATTTATTATGTTTATTATATATTATATAATTTATTATATTATATAAAAAAATTAA